AACCTTCTACCAAACTGATAGAGAATAAAAATACAATAAAGCAAAATAGCTACCAAATTGGCGAACCAATCCAGTTTGAGGTACACATTTTCATACGCACACCTACACACTCATGTTTGTGAAGAGTATTTTTTTGTCTATATACAGACATAACGTATTTTCTGTCTGTATACAGACAAAAAGATACTCTTCACAAACATGAGTGTGTAGGCGTGTGTATGAAAAATGCGTACCAATAGATTTTTTGATTGGCGAACAGTTGAAAATGATCAAACATTGCACATGTAAAAAAGATAACAACAAGCCATCAATGTTCAGCAATAACATGTTGTTGTTTGATTCATCTTAATTCTCGCCTTAGAGCAATGTTCTAAAAGACGTAAGGCGTTCCGAGGTGGCACGCTCAAGCCTTAAGCCTTTGGAGCCTAGGCGGGCTTAGGCGTGACTGAGGCGTGAAAAGGGGTTTTGAATTTTTATTATTTATTTTAGTTTTTCTAGAACTATTTTAAATATTTTAATGAAATATTAGAAAATGTTATTAAAAAACATCATACTTATCTTATTTTCAACAAAAAAAATCTTCAAATCCTAACTCTTAAGCCTTAAGCGTTTTGTATCAAGGATGTTGGAAGCGTGACCTCTTTGTCTAATTAAAGGTACTAGAATGAAAATGTTATACACTTTCAAATCTTAAGTAATAAGGTAAGTCACACCGATTAAAGTTATTAAAAAAACTTCCAATCCTAAATCTGCAGGAGTATACACTTTTGAAAGAATATATTACTTAGAGCCCGTTTGGTAGAAGAAAAATCGGCTGGTTTGGCTGATTTTGCTGAAATTTCTGAAGTTCTGGATGAAGTGGCTGCATTGGCTGATTCTGCTGATTTAATAAAACAATTAAAATATATTTTATTTATAAAATAAAGAAAAATTATATGTAAAAATAACTAAAATGGTCATCTACAGTAACTTCAGCCAATACAGCCGGAAAAGTAACTCCAAACTTACTTTTTCTGCATATTACGCAATTCAGCGCGCTAAAGCAAAAATTACATGTTTGGTGGAAAAGTTGGCTGATAAGTCTGATAAGGCGAAAAAGGGTGTTACCAAACGGCACCTTAGTTCGATTCAAGTTACTAAAATGAAAATGTGATATTTTATAAACCATATTTGTTTTAATCATACATATATACTTGTTTCTGATAATGATAATGAATTTTCCATCATGAATGACGATGAAAAGAATATACTTTGAACAAGTTTAAACGTTACCAATTGGTGGTTGAACAATTTTATTTTATAATACCAAAGCCGAAATGTGATCCAAGTTGCAAGAGAAGGTTTTGTGTGTTCCTTTCTATTCTTCCTCATACGGAGAACTTAAATTTCCCACACCGGTTGAGCAGACAACTCTTTACCCCAATGTTGCTATAAATATAAGAGCACTTCTCTTCTTCAATTCAAATAAAGCTAGCTTCACGTGACACAAGTAGGTGGAGCGGTTGGTCTATGGGCTGCTGCCAATGGGCTTTGAATTTAGTTAAATTTAAGACCGCGGGTTTCTTGGGCCGCCTTTCTTCACGCCTTTCGGTGGTGCGGGGTGTTCTAAGGACGCCTTGCGCATAGGCCCGCCAAGGCTGTGCTTTTTAGACCCTTTTAGAACAGTACTGCCTTAGAGATATATCTCACTTGCCTGAACACCAATGACATGTTTTTAATTGGACTATAATTTGATGGTTTGGTCTTATTTGGTATGTGATGGTTTGGTCTTATTTGGTATGATATGGTAATGTATGATCTTTTGTATTTTATAAATGCATGACTAGTCCCTAAACTATTGGCATCACCCTATAATTCAATGTAATTCATATTAATTCGGTCCTTCTGTCCATATTTTGACATTAAACTAACGGTTAGTTAGTGCATGTAAATCAACATACTTATAAGACAAAACATAACTTATAAAATTCTGATTTAATATCTAAATAAATTAGAATGAAAACTACTATCAAATCATAATACAACGTGTTGTATAAAGTTATAACATAATATAATACCTTCGTTCTCTTTTAAATGTAACATTGGACTTATTACATTATTCACATGTTCTACTTTGACTCAGTTTTATTTAATAATTTAATACGGAGTAATGCATTGTAAATTAAATTTAAAAAAATTTTAAATTCCTCTCATTTTAAATTTTCCAATTTTTCTTTAATTTTTGGTTAAGAAGAAATTAAAGATATTAATGGTCAAAGTTGTGTGTTGGCAAACGTGAAACTTGTGTGTTGACAAAATTTGAGAACTATACAAATATTAGTAAAAAAAATAGAAAAAAATAGATTTTGAAATTTGAAAATGAGAGGAATTTAACACTTTTTTTTAATTTATTTTATAATACATTACTCTGTATTAAATAAAATTGAGTCAAAGTAGAACATATGAATAGTGCAAAAAATTCAATGTTGCATTTAAAAGAGAACGGATATAATATATTAAGATAGTATGTCTTAACGCGTTATATTATGATTTGATAGTAGTTTTCATTCTGATTTATTTAGATATTAAATCACATTTTTATAAGTTATATTTTGTCTTATAAGCATTTTGATTTACACATACATGCACTAACTAAGTACATTCCGTTAGTTTAATATGGATTACATAGATTAGGGACTGAAATAATACATTAGTTAGTTCGAGGACCAAAATGATATGGGACTGATAGTTTATGGACTAGTTATGCATTTTACTCTTTTTATAATTATCCGAGTCTGATTTGATCTGATACTCTGATCTGACTTAGTCTGGAAACAAATTAGAGTTCAAATAAAATTGAATGCACGATGACCTTTGTAAAGAATAGGAAAAAAAATACGAATACAATAATTAAATGCAGTTGAAAACCAACATGACAAGTTGACAACTTTGAGACACCCATCGGTTGGGAAGCAGTCACTAGTATTGAATCGGAGTATTAACTCCAAGTTTGAGACAAGTATGGAAGAATAAGATTCTAGACTAGTCATACAACCGGCATTTTTGGTATTAACTCCAAGTTTGAGACTTATAATTACGGTATTCCTTTCTGTTCTTCTTCTTTGTGCCGCCGCTCCACTGCTGTTCTTGGTCTTACTTCCTTTTTTTTTTTATTTTCTTTTTCCTTTTTGTTTTCTTTCTTTATTTTCCTTTACTCTTTTATTCAAAAACCTTTGCTTTAATTTTTTGTTCAATTATTATGTAAATGTGTAATATAAAATATTAATACATTATTCGAGTTTTTTTCTTTTAATCTTTTGTTCAATTATTATGTAAATGTATAATATAAAATATTAATACATTATTCGAGTTTTTTTCTTTTTTCAATCAACATTCAAACTTAATTTTTTTTTGCGTTATAAAATATTTTAGGTATTAATGTTTTATTTTTTGTTTTTTAATTTAAGATAAATATTTATTAGTTACTAAATATTGTGTATTAATTACTAACATGAGTTAATTACTAATAAGAGTTAAATTATATACACGAGAGCAAATGTCACGATACTCAATTACATGTTTCTGATAATCAATTGATGGTATTTGATCATTTGATGTTCATTGAAAATGTCTTGATGTTCAACTAACCAAGCTTATAATTTTGATATAGTTTCTCATATGGTAAATTATGTGTGCTCATTTGGTACTGTTGTTATGCTCATTTTAAAATGTTATGTCATATTGCAAAAGCTCTATATTACATTAAGTTTACGTAGGAGTTGATTATAGACAATGGAGCACAAGCTATGATATTCAATTGCATTTTTCTAATACTCAATAGAGGATGTTTAATGCTCAATAAAAATGTTTTATTGTTCAACTTATAACTTATAACTTTTATATTAATGCTCATTTTGTAAGTTACGTGTGCTCAATTGATACTTCTATTATGTTCATCTTTAAAATGTCATAACAATGCATATTCCAAAAGTACCACATTACATTAAATTTGCATATTGAAATTCATAGGAATTGGTTATAGATATAACTTAATGAGTTTTTTTAAAAGAAAAAATAAGAAAAAGAAAGTGAATTACAATATAGAAAGTTAATATTACAATACCCATTATTCGACTCTTAATACTCAGTAGAATACGTATGATGCTCATTAAAAGTGTGTTAATGCTCATCTAACGAAAATCGAGATTTTCACTGAAATTACGAAAATGTCGCCATTTTTTAGTTGTGATATCTGCTTTCTTGTAATAACACGGTGCTCATTATTAGATGCTTAATACTCATTGAAATTGGACTGTTGCTCATTAACAGTACACTAATGATCATTTAGCAGAAACCACATTTTTACATTAATTACAAAAATGCCACCGAATTATTTTTCCATTTTTTCCGCAGGCCTTTTATTGGGCCGGCTGTACGGTGTTAACGATACAACCGGATGTACCATATACATACTCTCATAATTTTTTCTCAAAAGTTTAATTCTTTTTTTAACGGTAGATTTAAAAATATGAATAGAATTAATTTCACCTTTGGCCCTACGAGTTTTGTGTCAGTTCCACCTTTAGTCCAAATTTTTCACTTATTATACTTTTGGTACTTGACTAATATATTTTAACCATTTGTGGTCATTTTCTGGCAATTTTAACAATCTGAAACATTGTCGGAAGGACCATATATGCTCGAAAATCCAATAATATCAAAAGTGGAAAAAGTGAAAGATTTAAACTAAATGTGAAATTGACCTCAAACTCGTATGTACGAAAGTGGAATTTATCCGAAAATATTATCCAAATTAAGTTTATTTAAAAAAATATGAAAATGTGAAAATGTTAATATAGTATGATTTATTCACTAAACGTGAAAATGTGAAAATTGAATACTCATATTATAAACATTTATACTAATCTTTTCCATTTTGATTGTCTTTTTTTTGCAGACTCCAGTCTCAATTTACTTATATTGAAGTCATATATGTTTTGTTGCTGAAATTTCCCTTATGTATCTGAAGCTTATCTCACACTTTTGTATCTGAAGTTTATCTCACACTGTTTGTGCCAAAGCCAAGCCCGGACATCTTCAACCAACATTTGAAGATCCTACCGGTCTGAAACCATGAAATTGGCTTCAATTATCCACCATAACAGCCTCCAAGCCTCACCTTTGGCCTTCACCAATGGTTCCTTCAGAAATTATCCAGTCTACTCATTCCATCCGAACTCAATACGGCCTCGGGCTCAATTTGCCCAATCTTACTCTCCAACACCATTGTTAGGTAATGAAGTTCAACTTCGAGTTACTGGAAAAAACTTCAATTTTTAAGGCACGAAAAATTACTAATTTATGCATTTGAACCCTCAGCTGGCTCTGAACGGAGGTATAATTCAAGAATTTTATGCTCAAGAAAAACTGAACAAGGAGAACAGTTGTCTACATCAGGCAATAATTTTAATCTTTGGCCTGTCCTTACTTCTCATATCTAACATCTTATTGTATGAACAAAGCACCATATACGAACTCATGCAGTGCTTTTGGAACTTTGGCCTATGCGCTTAAATTTTAGCTATGTGGGATAGTTGTCCAGAGAAAAATTGTAGGCAACTAGGGTCTTTTTGGAGTATTTTTTCAGAGAGATTGGCTTATCAGAATTGTGGCCATTGTTGAATGCATAAAAGTTGCTGCTGCTGGAACTATTTAGAAGTATCAGGAATTGATAGCTGATGCCAATCGGTTGTATTCCCTGTTCTAAGCTAATATTGGGTGGCAAAACTGTTCTGCAGGGAAGGACATGTCTCATCCACAATCAGTTGACAGTGTCAACGACGACGGGTCTGAGAATAATTTATCTTCTGTTAGGACGGTAGCTCTATGTGTAAGTACTTCGCTTGATCATTGACTCATGGTTGTACCAAATCGTCAATGTTATATCTCATGATATTGAACATTCTAATTGAAGGGAGTAAAGCCTTTCATTATTTTTAGGTGTTGTCAGCAGTAGCGTTTGGTGCTGGTTTGGGTTTCATGGGTGGAGCGGAAAAGGCATCTGAATTTTTTGCTGGGTACAAAACTGTTGATCCCCGTCTGCATTTCCAATTACACAAGCTATACATTACTTCAGTGTTTATGCAATATATTGTCTACAACTAAATTGTAATGTCATATTGTGACTTCTCTCTTCTATTATATAGATGGCTTATTTTTCTTCATCACTCTTCTGGTGGGAATGTGGGATTAGGTTCCAATCAGTAATATGATAATTCAATATTAGTTTCACTAATTCAGCTATTCACATAAATTGTCAGGTATATCCTAGAGCAGAGCTTGTCAGTTGACAACTTGTTTGTCTTTGTTTTGATATTCAAGTATTTTGAAGTGCCCTTGATGTATCAGGTACTGCATTAGTCCATCTTAGTAGTTAGTACATTCTGAAATTTGCTACTGACCACATTTGGTCCTCAATCTAGTTTCTCATTTGTTGACTGTTAATGGCTGTAATCTCCGTGCTTTATAGAATCGAGTGCTTTCATATGGGATTGCTGGAGCAATAATATTCCGATTGTCAATCATACTACTTGGGACAGCAACTCTTCAGGTTAGCATTTAACTCCCTTCTGGTATTTAGTCTGAAGTGCAGTCACCTCTACCCTTCACAACTGTATCACTAATAAGATTTTCTCAAATATTCCGGTATTATATTTAGAAATTTGAGGCTGTTAATCTACCATTGGCGGGGCTACTCCTATACTCATCATTCAAGGTGCCATATCTTCCACGGCTGTTGTATCAATCCTTTTGCAATCTTCAATTATTTTTACTCCATAATTCCTTTACCCTTGTTTGCCTCAAATCAAAAGTAGTCTTTTGAGCCATGACACCGGTCATTGAAGAAGAAGATAATAAATGATGTGGAACAGTATTTTAGAAGGCTGGGATGGGTTTTACATACTGGGAAGGGTTTTAGTGGGGTTACTTTACTCCTTTGAAAGACAAAAAACACAATTGACCAATTGTTAAGGAAAGTGATATAATTTGGTTGATATTAAATTTGTAAAGTATGAATTAATTTGAACCACAAAATTATTAGTCTGTTAACAAATATGGTACCTGACAATTGAAAAAAGTAACATTGAACAAGATAGTGGGACGGGGGAGTAAATATTAAATTTATTCATATAGTTATAGTCATGTTAATTATCTATGCAATCTAGGAAATATAGTGTTTCAAATGGTTCTTATTATATATTTAAAAGGTCAAATAATAGTAACAAGTTACTAGCTTACTACTCCATACTAATTATTATTGTTATTACTAAACCTAATAGTTTGAAATTTATAAAGTAATCTAAGAATCGGTAACTAAATGTAAAGCAATTGATCCATGTCCACTAACACAATCGGTATCAGATATCCGCTAAATGTCGAACACCCCCTATGTGGTCATATGGATAACAATACTGCATGGCTATAGTGATTAAAAATAGGTGAAAGAAATAAGAAAAAAGACACTATTTCAAAATACCCTAGAATGGGGGAGTGAAATCTGAAGAGTTTGAAGGAGACCATAGCTCTCCTTCCTAACTTCTCCAACCAATAATTACTCCCCCGTCGACCATTCTCAGATGTAAATATGAATCTATTGTTCAGTAGAAAATCACTTTCATGAGTATCCTGATTTTTATTCAAATATTGATTTGGTTGACATTGCCTGTTCTAAGTAATATTTTTCATTTCAAAACAACAAATCAACAAAAAAGGTCGAAATAAAGGCGCTGTGTGTCAGAAAAGATAGATGGCAACAACTTTTCATAGAGATTTTTTTCCTCCCATTTTATCATAAAAGTTAAATCTTTTTCAAACATACAAAACTCCTCCAAAGTCTTCTGACCAAAGAAGGGCTTAAGAGAAAGTTCTATGTATGAAAATTGTTTCTTCTTCTTCTTCTTCTTCTTCTTCTTTTCAAATTGGATATGAAACAAGTAAACATAAATCTGTATAAAAAATAGGTACCAACTTCTAATAGGCTGTCCCATGTGGCATCTGGAACTCCATTTAGGCTGTCTGTTATTATGATTGCATGTTGTTTACCTGTCTTACTAGCCATCAAACTCTATCTTATCATATATATTATAAAATTAAGTCAATTTTAGCTAAATTCATTTTACAGGTCTAAGTGGCAATCTGGCTGCCATGTAGGATGAAATTGGCAGAGTAACTGCGATAGAACGGCCTGTGAAACCAAAATAAAAGTTCAATACCCGTTTGGATACAAATTAGTTTTTAGTACTCGATTGGATACATGAATGAGTAGTTATGTTAGTGACCACATGCACATTTTCCGTTCATTTAATGTACTTATCTTGATTTCTTGATTTCATCTCTTCAATAAAATCCCAGTTCATTACAAGACAGAAAAATATGTTGCACAAGAAGTTAAGGTCAAATACTGATTGTAATTGCCTGATGCCGTCGATGATAAATTTTACTTGTCTTTTTGTCTAAACACCAAGTTTCCTTTTATCTTGTGATCTTGTTGGATTAAGATTTTCATGCAATCTGGTTCATAATATGTATGTTTATTTGTTTAATTTCATCACAGTTGTTTGCTGAAGAAGATGGAGATACTGATCTTTCTGAAAACTTCATAGTAAAGACTTGCCAGAGATTTATTCCCATAACTTGTATTTTCTCTCTCCCATGATCGTTGCATAAGCACATTTTTTTGTGATATTTTCCAACTAAAAAGACATCGACATTTTGGTTTTTGTGTGTATGTATATATATATACACACAACACACACAGACATGCACACACACAGTAAATCAAAATCTATATAAGAATAACCTTTACTTTTATTATAAGATATTTGGGTCTCAAGTCCCAACATAGGATTTTGTTTGTACATATACCTGTATTCAGTTATAACCTCTCAATCAGTATACAACTACTATGGTCCTAATTATTATTTTTATATAGACTACGTACTGCCACCTTCTTTTTTAATTGCAACATTTTGACTATGACGTGCCGATGCCAGACTTTCACAATTACTGTAATTAATCATGTGTTGGTAAAAGTTGATAAAAGCTGTTACTTTGAAATTATCATTTAATAATGTTCTACATAATATGATTTGTTTACATACTTATCATTTATATATTTTGAGATTTATTCAGAAAAATTCAATTTGTGAATAATGCAAAATTCAAAGCCCTGCGATTTATAAAGAACGGAGGAAGTTTAAAATTCCACATGATAAAAATAAGAGCCTAATTTGTAGGAAAACAAAACTTCACATTGATAACTAGACCATGTTTTTTACATCGTAACTTAAATTTATGAAAAACTTCACATTGATAAATAGACCATGTTTTTCAATATACCATATTGAAAAGTTCAAATGAATTTTATCTTTCCTTTCTTCGAGTTGCAGCTAAATATGATGGTGATCGATTCATAACAGTTCAGGATGGCATTTGGAAAGTACGCCTTCTTTGTCTCTTTACGTTTGTGTTACTGTTTGCTTATTTTTACTCTTGAGGAGTAATGGTTCAATAGCAATTATTTTTACTACTACACATTATAGAACTCCATTATTGTCCATTTTCAGTTGTATACATTTATCTAGACCAAGTTTTGTTAAACATGAATTGTTCCTTTAATTCTAACAGGCGTCACACATTTTGGACAGGCTACACCTTTACTCCTTACAGTGGCCGTAATTGAACTCAGTGATATTGCATTTGCTGTATGTGCTATTTCCATAGGAATATTTAGTTTTTAAACTCCTTGATTTTTTGTAAATAACTAATTATGATCTTGGTGATTATTTTCAGGTTGATTCTATACCAGCTGTTTTTGGTGTTACCAGAGACCCTTTCATAGTTTTCACTTCTAATATTTTTGCCATTTTAGGTACTGTTGCTCTAAATTCTCTCTTCATTTTAAATATCCTAAAGTTGTTGCTATGCTTGCCCAATTGCAACCAAATGGGTTTTTCCAAATCAAAGTTTAGAGAAGTAATGGATGCATTGGCATCTTCTGCTCTGCTTGGCTCAACTCTCAAGTCTGCAATCAAATTTTTATGACATATTTTGAAACATAAGACACCGTATTATGATTATAGCACTGTTCTTTTAGCCAAGAAAAATCTATCAATCTCGATGGGGTGATGTCTAGGCACCCTTACCAGAAGGGAGGAGGGGAAGTTATGCCAAGGCCAAAAGCCAAACCCCTACAAGGAAGAATTACCCCAAAGGATAAAATAATCACAGGGGAGTGGAACCTAACTACAAAAAGGCTTACTCAAAGAAAGAACATCACCAGTTAAGACTGGGATAAGCAAGAAAAAAGCATGTTGATATCTTGCATTTTTGGCACCGTTACATCCAAGATGCTGATATATTGTACTGTTTTGTGTTTAATGGTGAAAGCCCCCCCACCCCCGACCTCAGTGAGAGGAGTGCATGGAATTCAAGCACACAATATATGTCTTACCATTAAGGCCAATTTGTATGCAGGTTTAAGGTCATTATACACACTCATTTCTGGAAGTATGTCAGAATTGGAGTATTTACAGGTGATTGATTCATTCTTTTTCCATATGGAGGGAGCTAGTTGAGTATATATACATCAAACAATAAATAGATGTAATGATATTGGTCAGAAAAAATACCAGTCATTATCGGTTTGAAAAATTATTTAAATTAATCTGGGACATTAAGTGCTAAATACATCAATTGAGGGCTCAAAAAGTTAACACCATTGAAGAATCTAATGTAAACTGACTTGATATGTTATACGGAGTAACTTATAATCTTTCAAGTCCTGAATTGATGACTTGTTTCCATGAAGCGGTAGTTTACTCGTTCGGGCCCACTGATAGATCTCCTAATCAAGTTAATCATAATTAACGATATAAACTTTGGAAATGACTCATTTCAGGGCTCAAAAAGTTAAAACCATTGAAGAATCTAATGTAAACTGACTTGGTATGTTATAACTTATAATCTTTCAAGTCCTGAATTGACGACTTGTTTCCATGAAACGGTAGTTTACTCATTCGGGCCCACTGATAGAACTCCTAATCAAGTTAATCATAATTAACAATATAAACTTTGTAAATGACTCAGTTAAAATGGTTGGTTTCTCAAACCGGGCATACCTTTGCGGTTTCATCACATGTTACTGATGTCTGATATTATCGCATGTGTTATGTCCCAATAGTCCTTTTGTTATTTCTGATGAAATCTAGTTTCTGGTGCGAACAGCCTGCAATTGGTGCTGTTTTGGGCTTTATTGGGTGTAAGATGATTCTGGATTTCTTTGGTGAGTCTAAATCATTGCAACTAATTCTCTCTTGTGTTTCTAAGACTCGTTGGAACTTGGAAAGTTACGGGGAAAGGGAAAAGATAGTAAGGATAATAGTTATTTTTATGTTCCATCCTACCTTAAAAATTCAAATAAAAATAAATTCGATTGAAGCATTACTGTTCTTTACAAGTACTTAGATTTCTTAGTACTGTACAATGTAAATATTTAAACATAATCCAAAAGTGATTTATTGAGTTTGAAGCAGTTCTTTACCCCCCACACATTTTCTTTCCTTGCAAAGTTTCCTTTCTATTTCCTGCGTATTTCCGTTTCATGACATTTCCGAGTCAAAAATCTACCCTAAACAGTAGTTGCACATGCAGGATTCCATGTTACTACCGAAGCGTCTCTTGCCGTTGTAGCCACATGTCTCAGTGGTGGGGTGTTGTTAAGTCTTGCCAAGGGGAAGTCTGATTAGAGGTACATTCGATCTATAAGGATGTGTGCCTGTCTATAGTTCACTGATCTAGTTTTTATGAACTCATCTGATGTTTTCCCCATGGACCCTTCTCAATCCTCAATTACCAAGAGTTATAAATGCTTATTCTTGACTCCTGTTTGGTTATCACTCTGGACCAAAAGCAGAATCCAGGAAGATAAGTTTAAGGGTGAGGGTGTTTTATTTTTCATTTATTTACCAAAATAATACGTAGTAGACTCCATTTATTAAACTGGAAAAGTTTAACCACTACAGCATGGCCTATTTGTTCAAGCCTATTGGTGTACTCACAGAGAATTTTTCTGAAGAACTGTGAGCTCGAGGGGCTTAATGCAGGCTAAGATGACAAGAAACTTCAAACTTATTCTCACTCCTCATCCCTAATATGTTCGTTTAATCAACTATGGACACTCTGTATAAAGCTCATGCCTCATGGCAATCTTCTACCACAGTACATTCACTACAATCAAAGCTTACTCATTCGGAATGTGTGCTCATTAATTGTTCATTGTACGTAGTTTTCATTTATTGGTGTACAGAAACATTATTGATGAAGCTTTAATTGCAATAAAATAATTAATCAAGCTTCTCTGTCCTCTCAATAAGTTTTTTTTTTTTAAATTCTCAGGCTGATTTCAAACGTGAAAACCATTTTTAGACACTCTTGAATAGGCATGGCCTCGAGCCGGGTCGGGTCCGTGTCGGGTTTGGGTCGGGCCTAGGCCCGGCCGGGCTTTTTATGGTTGGGGGAAGGCCTGGGACCGGTCCGGGTTTCCACCGGGTCCGGTTCGGGCCGGGCCTCGGGCCGATTTATAATTTTTTTTTTGCTTTCCTAACTACCCCTGACACCCCCAACCCCCCCCCCCCCCCCCAAAAAAAAACACCCAGCCCAACCCGGGGGAAGAAAAAAAACTGAAAAAACCAAAAAAAAAAAAAAAACATTTTGGCCCGAACCGGGCCAGGTTACCAATTCACATACCCGAGCTCGCCCCCGCTTTACCCACCGGTTCGGGTCCAAGCCCGGTATCGGGCCAAAGGACCGGGCCGGTCTCGGGCCCGCAGAGTAGCGGGCCTGAACTAGGTCCAAGCCTACTCTTGAATGATTATTATAGGTGTTAATTATAGAAAAACAAAGTTTTGGTTTAGGGGTGCAAATGAGCCGAGTCGCTCGTGAGCCGCTCGAATCGAGTTCAGTCAAACTCGAGCCGAGCTCGAGCCTGGGCAGGGACGAGTGGCTTTTAGGCCTTGATGGGTTTTTGATCCACTTCTTCACGTGGGTATTGGGCGGACTCTGTACTAGGCCAATTACCCCAACATCCTGAAATAGGAAAAATAAAGTGGCCACTTCACAAGAGGAGCGTGACTAGGGGTGGACTCGGGCCAGGCGGCCCGGCCCGGTCACTGTTTGAACCGGCCCGAACCGCTGGCCCGACCAGGGACTTGGGACCGGTCCGGGTAGGCTCGACCCGCTGGGGTTCCTGGCCGGGCTCGGGCTTCTGAAAAGGTGAACCGGCCGGCTCGGTCCGGGCCTATTTATTTATCTTTTCTTTTTTTTTTAAATTTTTTTTAAGATTTTGGGTTGGGCTGAGTATTTTGGGCCATTTGAGGTGGTTTGGGGTGGTTTGGGGGTGAGGGGGGAGGGTGTTGGGGGTTAATTAGGAAAAGCCAAAAAAAAATTAAGTTGAACCGAAGCCCGGCCCGGCCCGAACCGGACCCGGGGGTTACCCGGGCCGGTTCCGGGCCTCCCCTTTCATGAACCGAGGCCCGACCGGGCCCAGGCCCAGGCCCGAACCGGCCCGAGTCCACCCCTAAGCGTGACAGACTATTTTTTGTCACTATGACTTTTTTGGACACTATGATTTTAGGAAAAGTTCAAATTGGCCACTAACGTTTTCAAGAGATCAAATAAACAGTGATGGACACTGAGTAACAGTGTTGAAATGAAAACAGTGATCCATCTATGTTTCTCTCTCTCGCTATCCACTCCAGATCCATTTCCACGCCTCCCAATCCCCCCTTTTAACCCAACAACATATCCCCCTCCCAAAAAAGCAAGCAATTGCGATAATGGATATTAGGTTAGAAGTTTCGTAGTTTTGCATCAATCGATCTAGCAGCGGCTTCCATCATCTTTCAATTTTCTTCTTTGAGATTCCATCGCAATTCAAGTTCAAAACAGAGCTTGAAGGTTTCAGAGGACATGCATAAAGGGAGAAGTCACAGGTTTGAAGTCACAGGTTTGCCAAAACCGCACAGGTTTGAAACTTGGTGGCATAAGACCAAAACTCATTTTAGCCTCCCAGCTTGCCAAAGCATTTTTTGTGCAATTGCTTAGATTTTTCACACGATTTGTAATAAAATTGAATTCCAACGCTTAAACCAACCATTTATCGAAAAAACAGTAAGATTTTTTGTTCAATGCAGACCTATTTTCTTTAGCTTTCTCTGAATTTTATCGGTTGCTTTGCATTTTTAAGATTAAATAAGCAGGCCTGACATTTCCTTCTCCTTAAACTTTACTTCGGACGGTCATTCTTTTTTTCTTTTCAATAGTTGAATTACAGAGGCGAAGTGACTGAGGGATAAATTTTGGGTAAATGATTTGGAGTGAATTGGAAGTCATCAACACACACGTCTGTTGAAGAAATAAAAGAAAAAAGAAACAATAAAAATTAAACAAACGATTCTCATTTTTAAGTGACACCGTTGAACAAGGAGTTACTTAATTGAAAGGGAAATTTGTTGATTTAGTCCTGTAACTTATAGCTATACCCGATATCGGTCCTGTAACTTTAGTAACTTGCAAATTGCATCCTGTAACTAATAAGTTGGTGCAAATTTGGTCCTTCTCTGCCGGAACTTACTAATTTCGTCGGAAAAAGACACATCACCTGCTAGATTGGTATATTATTTAGAACTCATTTGTGACTCAACATTGGCCCATAGGTGGGTCCGCCCATTCAAAAAATCTGCAACCTCTTTCTCTTTTGAATTGAGTCTTCTAAGCAATCCCGGAATTATCATTGTTGAACGATGACACATAGTTGGGTCCACCTATTCAAAAAATCTGCAACCTTCTATCTGCATCAAAATAATATGAAGCTTAGCTTACTTTTTACTGCTTTGAACACAAAAATACATGATCAAATGCCCCCAACAAATAGAAGATATTACTTTTATTAGCAGAACCTAGCTTAAAATTTAAATACATTTTAATTTTCAAACACATTTATTATACGAATGCTATTCTTAAATTTCTAGTTTATTTAGTAAAAATAGAAGCAAACACTAAATTAAAAAGCTGAACTTCTTGCTTCTAGCGCACACACGAAACCTCCTTTTGGGATTGTTATCAGTCTAAGAAGTTAGAAGAGAAACCTTTTTACCACAATCACACTCCATAAACTATTGTCTGATCGAGAGCCATTACTAGCAAATTTGAAGAACAACTCACTCTCTCGACTTAGTTCAGGAGAAATCTCTGGATAGGGTTATGTGCTTTTTCCCCCTTTTGCATATCCGATAATAGGCTTGGTATGGTTGTGCGCACACTCAATGAAGAGCTTTCATACAATCATTTTTTAACTCCAGCTAAGGGCCAATGTTGAGTCAGCAAATGAGTACCAAATAATATACCATCTGGCAGGTGATGTGTCTTTTTCCGGTGAAATTAGTAAGTTATGGCAGAGAAGGACCAAAATTGCACCAACTTATTAGTTACGGGATGTAATCTGCAAGTTACTAAAGTTACAGGACCGATATCGGGTATAGCTATAAGTTACGGGACTAAATCAACAAATTTCTCTAATTGAAATGAAAAATACTTCAATGTTTCGTTTGATCCAAAAATAACGTTATGTCCAAATTGAGATTCACGTACACATTCAGTGTCATATTTGGTCTTTCTCCCTTTGTAAAATGATATGTATTTTGATCTAAATCCCATGCAATAATGCTCTTGGAACATACAGAGTAGTAGCTAACACTTCTATCAATGCACTCACTTTCCATTTTGTTGATTGTAATGTCTAATTTAATGAAGTTTGTGCGCCACTTTATACAATTGATAACATGACCATCACATCCTACCTAAGGCCACTTTAATGAACATTTTCTTCACGCGCAACACGGGTCTCATACCTAGTTATTATCCAATAAAAGTAAAAAAAGGGTGAACATACTTTTTGTGAAAAATTGTGAAGAAAATTCTCATTAACACCTTCATGATATTTAAAAATTAAGATAGTTAAATACATATAAATTTGCATAAGGGCAACATTTTAACATATCAACCGAAATGCTCAATCGCACAGATAAGAGAAGAGATATATCACGCACACAATGGCACAATAACCTTACTTGGTATTAGTTGGTAAAAAAGAATATTTAAAATTGTAAAAATCTTACTTGGTATTGGCAGCCAGAAACAAATGGACAAATGGTCTGAAAACTCTAGGATTGAGTTGGAGCCATGCCTATCATGTTTACGAAGTCAACCTTGACTTAGAACCTTTTCTTGCACGGTCGCACTGCATCTTATGTTTAATTTTTTTAGTTTCTATCCTTTCTCACACCCGAGTGGGAGAGAAGAATTCAGTCTTTACCGTGTATTTTAAATTAGTACTATCTCTGGTCTTAAATAAACTTTCCTTTCGATAGATTCAAAATAAACTTTACACTTTTACTTTAGCAAGTTTTTAACATAAAGTTAGCTCTATACCCTTATTACTTTATTAAACACTTTACACTCACTTTCTGTCTCCCACTATATTTTGTCACCATAAAGTCAAACTATGAAGTTTATTTAGAACCGGAGGGAGTATATCCGACACGATGCTTCTTTTGATTTTTTTTTGATTTCTTTTAGTTATGTTAAAATGAAATAAAATATTTGAATTGTTTATGAAAATGATGACAATTACTGGTTGTTCAGGTATTTATATTTATAGTAGTTAGTAAAAACCGTTCAAAAAGTTTCAAAATAATGTAGAGGAAAATAATGTTAAAATGATTTAAAAATCCTCCCCTTAGTATTTCCCACACCGGGGTAAAGAGAGGATTTCATGTGAACGGTGCTTTATATATTAGCGTATCCGCTACGAACGCATCCATCAACAGCTTCTAACCCTCTTTTCTTTCAATATCCTCTGACTTCTCTCCCACGCACCTGCCGTGTGTCTGCAAGCTTTGGTCCTTCAATGGAAGGGAAGAGAAGAATCGAAGTGACCGGCTCAGGCAAATGGTATACCTTGGCTTGGGATGAGATCACAAGTACCTGGGCTCATGTTGAACGAAGAAGCGCACAAGGTGATAAATGGAAGGAAGTGGATCCTGATTTGAAGCAGCTGGGCCGAGCTCTGGCAGATCAGTTTCCGGATCCACCCGAAGACACTGTTAAAACTTTTATCGTAATCACCATTTATCTTCATCTTCCTCAAATTGATTGCTCTGTATTACTGTATTTATTTGTATCCTGATGAATTCATATTGCAGAATGGATATGGACATGTGTTGGACTTCGTGCCGGTGAGCCACTTTCTTCTTCATCTTTCGTGTTGACATTTTGTTTGATGATGCGCTTGCTGAATCAGGCAAAATCGCCGATCGAACCGGAGCCATGGTGCTTGGGGTGGGCACCTCCAGGCACTCGCAGTAGACCAAGGATGACTAAGAAAAATTTGGAAGCAGAACGCACAAGGCCTAATAAGATGGGGGTGCCTGATCCTGCGGCCTACGCTAACAAATACTTCCTCTGTAACTTTAAAATTCACTTTTCAAAAGTAGGTAGATTAAGAATAGGTAGATTAAGAATAATGAAAGATGATATGAATTATTGAGAGTATGATGGGAAAATAGTGAAATAATGTGGTGGAATGTAGGATAAATCCAAAAAAAATAGTTGTAATAGTGTAATATTTTAAGAATTATTGAAGGTATGATGGGAAGATTTAGAAATGAGAAGATTTTTTTGTTACGGACGAAAAGGGAAAGTGGGAATATTTTTAAGTTACGGAGGGAGTACATACCAAGAGCACCAACTTTTTCACCTACCTTCCCAACAGCAGTTTCACCACCCTAGCTCAGAGCCGTGCCTTATGTAAGGCTGGAGAGGCTTGGGCCTCAAGGCCCCCAAAAATTGTAAAAATTAGGGGCCCAAAATTTATATATATTAGTATTATACATATGTATTTTCTAGTTATTTTTTATTTCCCCATTGGGCAGTAGAAACAAAAACTAATTCCACTTCTATTTCTAGGCTTCTAGGCTCCAAGTTCTATAGTTAATTCTATTGGTCTATGTTTTTTATTTGCTTATTTAGTTATTTGTTTGTATGTTTAGAAATTTTCTAACTTTATATTGATTTGCTAATGTGATGTATAAGTAATTTGTCATGTGTGAATGCCAAATGGGCTAATTTGTAAATACTACTAGTAGTTGATTCTTGCATGTTTTTTATTTTTTAGTGTTATCAATATTGCAATTATGGAATTCTCAATTCACAATTAATTAAGTTAAGTACTTTCAATTTTATAGAGAGAATTACTAATATACTAGTATATTGTTAAGGATTCGATTAAATTGTGTATTTATTTATGTTTAGTGTCATACCTCCCAAATCTTTGTCTCGATTTCAAAAGAGGAAAAGAAAATCACATATTGAATCATTAACTCAATGGAAAACTGTCAAATAGGTACTCGAACTTTCATAAAAAAGTCAATTAAGTCCTTCTATAGGAGACTCTGTCCGGTCGTCGCGATTTGGGGCGGTTCCCGGTGGAATTTTTTGATGAATTTTTTTGAGCATCTTATTCACCAAGTCTAATTTACTTATACCAAATTTCAGCTAAAAATTCATCGGGAGCACATTCAAATTAATTTGAGAACGCAAAAATGCGCAGTTATTTTCAAGAATTATTTCGAAATAATTAAGTATTTACGATTAAAATAACTATACAATTATTCCAGACTTAAGACCATACAATTCTGGCAGGTTTTGATTTAACAAGCTTCAACTTCAAGTAAGGTCGTTAACGACCTTCACTATAATATTAATCAATCAATCTACTCATAACAAAAGGTATGAGTATAGTTTCAATTGTAAAATCCAAAAATAATAGGATTCTGCACTAAGAAACTGATTTTTTCACTTGTCAAATCCTTGATTTATATAATTGTACAAAATCGTAATAGAATTATACAATATTGTATACAATTGAAGTAAAAATTAACAAAATCGTCGTGATTTTTTAGCGTGAAAGTGTTTCAAATTTATTAAAATTAATTATGGGAATTTTAATACAAATAATGACAAAAAAAATGCTATTGTCTTTTAGTAGTTAAAGTTTACATATTCACATAGTATACGAAAAGTTCTTTTCAATCGCAACAATTTCATTTTAAATTGATGGGAATTTGATATTCAAATGTGCATGTTAAGATTACCTTGGGAACAGTGATCTCGTGGAACTCAGGAAGCTGTTGAATTCAACCTCTTAGCTGAATTTGACATTCTTAGGCATTCCTGGGTTGGTTGGGGAGCCTCTGCTTCAGGCCATCTTGTTGATGGTGTTGCTCCTGTTGGGATTAGAAAATTCTTCTATTCAATATCAAGAACAGAATTACAATAGGAGGAGCAAACTCTCACACTCAACTATTACAAAAAACCAATTCTCACCAATACACTTCTACTCTAAGTGTATTTCACTCTTCACACACTTTTCTCACTTTCTAAACTGATGATAATGAACAACAATACACTCCCTATTTATAGGTGTATATGGGAGACATGAGGAAGTTGCATCCAAGCTTTCATTCCCATTTCTAGGGAGGTTCCTAGCTATCTCTAAGCAACTTCCATGAAGGGATGTTGAAGTACCTCAATGTTGGATGACTCCTTCCTAGAAGGTGTGAGATGCCTCTTGGCAACTTCCAAGAAAGAAGGTGGAATATCTTTACAGCTCCTACATTTGAGGTGCTTGTCTCTGTAGCCTGTAGGTAGTCTCGATCAACACTACAAGCTAGTCATGCATACAATTCTATTTTGTGACTTTCAACTTTTCTTTTCAAAAGTAGACCAACTAAATTTTTGCTTTCACGAATAGTCATGCCCTGCTGTGTCTAACTGTCTACTAATAAGAAGCGAAACGAAATGCAAGTCATCCCCACATTATACCGTGGGATCGGCCCACCATGTGCACGGTGTGCCGATCTCTGAACGGCACCGTTTCAATTAAAAAAAGTCATCTTCTTCCCAACTGTTAGACAAGTCATTCCTCCCCTCGCAGAAACATCGGAATACCCCGTTGGATCCCGATTTGTGCAGAGCAGTCCCCTACCAATCCAAATGGTCTTTTCTCTGTTGGCTTCTTTGAATCGTGATGAATTGACACCCCCACCCCTGAAGAGTGAAGACAAAGCTCTGATGTCTGGTTTACAATAAATTGAAGAAGCCATGCATATATGTGTTGCTTGTAAAAATGAGTTTCTGTCTCTACTTGCTTTGAATCTAAATCTATAATAGTGCTCTTGGATTTTGTGGAAAGAATCGGGGAAGGGAAGTATATATATATATATATATATATATATTAATCATTAATATATGATTAATATATTAATCATATATTAATCAGATTCCACATCAACTTTTTCATCGCTTCATTCTTCTTCTTCTTCTTCTGACATGACTGCAGCTTTCTTCTTCTTTTGCATCTTAGCGGTACTCCTCGTCTGAGTTTCCATCACTAGATTATGTCTCACATTCTTCACTGTTCTCTTCCATTCAGCGCTCAGACTTGATAGAAATCGTATGTTCAGTTCCATGTTGGTTTTGTTCACGTTGATCTTTCGCAGGTCATTCACAAGCTTAACAAAGTGATTATATGTCTCGTGCAGAGGTTCACCTTCTCTGGCGTTAAAAGAATCATAGGTAGTGAGAGTGCTTGCCTTCTTTGTTTTCAAACCGAGATTGGTTCCTTCCATCATCTTTCTGATTTCATCCCACATCTCCTTAGCAGAATCCATGCTGTCAATCAGGATATAAATATCATTGGGAATTGCTTGGAGCAGGTACGTTTTCGCCATCAGATCAGCTTTAATTTAAATATGTTCTCTTCAGTATACATATCAACCGGCTTGGGTACTCTCACTTGATCAATAGTGGTCTCATTGTCATTGTCACCTCCAGGAACCATCCATAATTGAGTTGGTTCCTCCGTCAGTGATTCCAACATGGCTGAAGAGTTGTCTTTGCTTTCCAGGAAGTTGAGAAATCTGTTCTTCCACATCACGTACTCGTCTCTCCGCAAGATCGGGGGTCTGTTATCGTTTCCCATTGAAAGAGCGTCCATTTCTGCTGTTCTTAAAAATGACCGTTCGAGTGATTGATCTATCACAAAAAATTTTCTAAGTATAGTTTATCGAGAAGTGAAACTTCGAAAACCAGGTTCGAGAACTAAGAGTTCGAGAAAGATTATCGAGAAGTAAGTTTTCGATATCAAACTTCAAAAAGTTTGTTTTCGATATAAGGGTTCGAAAAGTCGATATCGAGAAGTCTAACTTCGAGAAGTTCAATTCGAGAACTGACTTTTCGAGTTTGAGTTTCGAGAACCGAAGTCGAGAACCTGCAATATCGAAAACTAAGCTCGAGAACTTAGTATCAAAATCATCCTATCGAGATCCTGTACTTAAAAATTTTCAGAATTTTAAAAACAAAGACTGCTGTTGAGTTGTTTTCGATGTCGAGAAGCTCCCTGTATCAATCTGACTTCGAGAAACCTGTTTAATGTATCAAGAACTAGCTTCTCGATATAGAAATATCGAGAACTCGAAAACTTGAAGATTACAGATATCAAAAATACAGATATACTCCTGGTTCATTTTTGAAAGGCGAATCCAGCAGTATAACTTTTATAAGAAAATGTCCAGTAACAGGTTTACAAGCACAGATTTAGAAAAAACATCGAAAAGATAAAAACAGAGTGTTTCTTCGCAGTTTTTCTTCGATGCAGATCAGTACTCGATCGGCTCTGATACCAGTTGTTGGTCCCAAATACCAAGATGAAAGAACAGCTAAATAAGATTTACAATAATATAGAGAAGGACTCTTAATAATGATCGAGAAATAATCTGAGCAGAAGAAATCCTTACGCTATACTATCGAGAAAGAAAGAACGAAAACTCTGAGTGAAAGGCGCTGTATATTTCGGGTCGAATCGGCTCGAATAATGTGATTTTGTATTTGTATTTGTTTAATTTTTCCGAATACGAATCCGAATTCAAATATGAAACGAATATTATTTTCGATTTGTATTTGTATTTGTTTAACAATACGAATACTTAACGAATCATATACGAATATCGAATCAATTGATCATAAGTTAAATTTTAGTCAAATATCACTTTAAAACACTTATAATAATGTGGACTGAAGCGAATCAGTTTTATAATTACTATAAATAAATATATTTCAAAGCTAAGTTTGAAATAAACACTAACATTAATGTGTAAAATAAAATTATTTGTTTCCTTTGCAACCTTTTCTCCTTATGATACTTCTTATTTATGACAAATAGACTTGGAATGTGTATACTTAAATGGTATATATATGGGCTACACTTTGAGGATATAGCTGGTTTTTAAAAGTTATTGTAGTGTTGTTACTACTATTATTATTAATATTATCACTATTATTAATCGAATATATTTGATTAATATACGAATCGAATATACTGATATTTCTATTTGTATTTGATAACAATTCGAATCAATTTTAGTATTCTTATTTGTATTTGTATTTGAATTTTTCGAATTTAATCATCTTATATGAATTCGAATTCCGAATCGAGCGTAAATTATTTGATTCGTATACAACCCTACCTGTACCACATGTACGCATATTTATAGGCGTAAGTACAGGTACCGAATTGGTAACCTAGAACTCTGGGCCTAAGGCCTTTTTGGGCCTTGTTCCCATAGTTCATTTATTCTTTACATAAAGGCTATAAATTATATGACTAATCTAATTGGGATAACAAAACTCTAGACAAACTTGATCACAATAAATATTTTCCTCAACATAATCATCAAGCTTCAAGAGCAACACCAAGAAATGAAAGTTTAGATCCTCATTTGGAGACTAAACCATAGCTAAAAAAATATAAAGAAATGCTATTCTAAACTGAGCTTAAGTATATGGAAGAAGGGATGATTTTATTGTGAAGGAAAAGGGGTGTATTTATAGGTGTTTGGAGGTGGCAGGGTTGTGTACCCGATCGGGTATATAGGATACCCGATCGGGTATTTTAGGCAGTTTCCTGGAAAATCACTTTTCTAGACATACCCGGTCGGGTATGAGCCAAAAAGTCAAAATCCTACATGTTCTTTTGTCTCTCCAGATTCTGATTTTGACACTCGAATCAACTCAATACCCGATCGGGTATTTCCTATACCCGACCGGGTATATGAAATATTTTTTCAATCTTCTTTTTATCTTGTCCACTTGCACTTTCCTTGATCTTTTGGGGTCCAAACTTGATCCTTTGGATGATCTTGACCTGTTTTAAGCTCAGAATAATCCTAATCTAAACAAATTACATCTATCTAAGAAAATTAACTAATTACACCAAAAGTGTGTAATTTTCCAAACAACAACAAATAAAACTAGTTAAAATAGAAATAATACATAATAAAAATACAACTCTATCACCAAACAATGTAATTTATTTTACACGCAAAATGATTGATTTCCTATACTTTGCATGCAATCACTTCGCGTGTAAAGATTAATGTGCAAACTACCAAACTAGCCGGTAAGTTGGTTTCTTTCAATACCTTTAACTCAATCTGGTAAAATATTTGAAGAGTGGGGTTGTAACTTGTAAAGTTTTGTAAAGTTACCACTAGATGCATCAAATAATATTGGTATTGTTCTATTTCGTTCTTGATTGTCCGTTCAGCGGAGCTCACACTCAGGGATGGATTTAGGGGGGAGCGACCGCCCCCTTGGACTTTCAATTTTTTCTACTATATATGTAATATTTTCATAAATTTTTATATACTTTAATTAGATAGATAAGTGTTTGTCCCCCTTAACTTTTAGTTCTCAAAATTAATATATAGCCTTACATTACGTAATACTTAATTAAAGATTTAAAAGAAGAAACATCTACAAATAATTGACATAAAATAAACAAATAACATTTGAACAACTCATTGTTTGACTTAGGATACCTATTATATAAAAGTTCACAGTTTTGAAATGTTTAACTATCTTTAATTTATTAGATAATTATTACTCTATTTGTAAAATATCAAACAATATTAAATACAAGACACATTGGGCCCGTTTGTTATGATGTAAAGTAAACATTTTGCGTGTAAAGTGTGGGGAAGTAAACATTTTACACCGTTTGTTTTAATTATTTAATGTAAACTGTAGGACACTTTTTTAAAAACATTTTACACCGTACCGTGTTAACTATTTTACGTGGGAGAGGGTAGTAGAGTGGATTACATCCGTTCAACGTAGAATTAGCGGCAAGAATTCTCTGATCTTTTCTCCTCCTATAACGGCAAAGCAATACGGAGTATTGCTCTTCTCCTCCGATGACAAAAAATTGCTCTTCTCCTCCGATGACAGCAAAGCAAGTCATTTTGAAGACTCCATTATGACTGCAAATTAAAGCAAAAACTCTCTTTTCTTCTTGTACGTAGTATATAAGAAAACAAAACCTGCTCTCCATCCAAATTAACAAAGAGGTTAACTTCTTCTAGAAAACAGGTTAGCTTCTACAATAGATATGCGTAGTATATACTAGTATATACGGAGTACAAGTATATATATTCGAAAATTAGATCTTTAGGTTTGAATTATGTTCTCAGATTTGATGATCAGTTGAATTTAAAAGCCATGTTTAGTGACTTTCTAAGAATTACGAAGTATTTCTAGTATTTGATTAAATAGAATAGTGATTTTTTAGTGATTAATCTTTTTCTAGTTGCTTCAAATAAAATTACAATTTTGTAGTGATTAATCACTTTGCAGATGATGATCTAGTTGCTCCACATTAATCATACTCTGGCACGTTGAATGAGCTATTTTCTGAACATTTTACCTGTAAACTTATTTGACAATAAACAATGTAAAGCGTTTGCGTGTAATTTAAAAATAGATTACACACATGGCCAAACGGTGTATTTCTATTTTACTTGCAAACTATTTTACAGCACTAAACTTTATATGCAATCACTTTGCGTGTAAAGTTTTAATGTGCAAACTACCAAACGAGCCCATTAGTTAAACAATTTTTAGATCATGTGAAGTGAATCTAAAATTACACAATTCATTTACTTCTTTTTTTTCTAAAAACAATTTAGTGCATAGATAATAAAGTTTAACTTATGTTAGCATTAATACAAATTTAATATGCACCATATATAAGAATTAGCAATATAATATTATTCTATATAACAATAATAATCTCATACATACTATTGTAATATTAGCAAAACCTATCATGACTCACGAACACTCTTCTTGATAAACAAAAATTGCAATTCAAAAATCAATTCCTTGTACCAATAAGATTCATGTGGTTAAACATGATAGGAGTTATTTAAAAAGTATTGATGGTTGTGCACCTTTTAAACTCTTTTTTTCCTTCAAAGAATTTGATAAAATGTTACATATCCTTTAATGTATCAATACTTTTATCTAAGGAAAAATTGAAATTAATAATCCCAACTATTGACGGTCCGCTGATAATAATCCCAACTATTGATTATTTTTGTATAATCCCAACTATATGGACAGTCCGCCAATAATGGTCCATGACCAAATATTACACCCTCAAAAAGTGAATTTTAAATAGAAATCAAGTTTAAAAATTAAAAATTGGAATTACTTATAGGGATTACTTGTTATATCTCTCCTCATCCACTTTAGAAACTACAAGAATTTATTTAAAGGGACCATTATTGGCGGAAGGTCCCTAAAGTTGGGATTATTCTGAAATAATTGATAGTTGGGATTATTATAAGCGGACCGACCATAGTTGGAATTATTACTATCAATTTTTCCTTTATCTAACACACTTACTGTTATAGAATCAAAGTTATTTTTTCATTGTCTAAACTTAGAATGTAATATATTGAAATGTCATCATGTATGTACTTATGAATTTTTTTGAATAAAAAGTAGGTGCAAATCCCTACACTATTGAAAATAATCGCCCCGCTACACAAGCAGAAAAAAAATTCGCCTCACTACACTCGCGAAAAAAATTCACCTAAAAAAGTTTCACCCCTTAACTCGAAATTCTGGATCCGTCCCTGCTCGCACTAGAGCTCCTCGTAGATTCAAAAGATAGCGGTTGCGACGATGTGGAAGGAATAAACATGGTCATAGTCGTGCTTCATCGAAGCTTGCATCTTAATCAAGAGAATAATAACACCTGGTTCACACCGTGGCTGATGTGCGACCACGTGCTTGCAGCTATGGAGAGCTACTACGGTAGAAGAGCAGCACGATGGGGTTGTGCAATAAGGGAGTAGCCGATTGTTGCAAGGATGGAGTATGGAGAGAAATCTATGGTTGTAAGTTGTAACCATGAAGTGCAGAGAGATGCCCATGGTCAAGTTAATTAAGGACCATTCACTCCATTCTTTAAAATTCGGACTCTTTTTGGGAGGGATCGGAGGGAGTATTGCATAAGTAGATAGTGATGGAAAATAGCTTGAAAGGGATAAGCCGACCCATATTTGTTTTGAGGAAGGTTGAAAGACAGCCACGGATGGGATACAGGTCTAATAATCACATTAATTTATTTGATCTAGCTTAATGTAGGAAAGCATGAAAAGTAGGGGAACCATGCAGAATCCCGGAGCCTGGAATGTTATGCTGGTGAGAATGTTGGTTGGAAGGGAGAAAAAGTTGGTGCCTTTGGTATGTAATTACCGTAGGGCCCATAATCAGGCACCCCCTTCTTAGGCCTTCTGCGATCTGCTTCCAGAAATCTCTTAGTCAACCTCCGCCTGCCGCGGGTACCTGGAGGTGCCAACCGCACAAAGTCTGGGTCCCGTTCATCCTCCGGCGGTTCACACTGATTCAGCACGCGCATCAACAAACAACAATGTCTAAATCAACACTAAAGATGAAGAAGAAGAAGAAGAAGAAGAAGAACGGAGAAAGAAGAAAGGGCAAGTGACATACTCGCACGAAGTCCACCACATCCCCATAGCCATCCTGCAATATGATTATATGAACGAGGAGGGTACAAAGAAATACAGAGCAATCAAACTAAATCTATTTAATAAAGAAGATAAAGATAAATGGTGGCCACCGCCATAGTTTTAACAGTGTCTTTGGGTGGATCCGGAAACTGATCTGCCAGAACCCGACCCAGCTGCTTCAAATCAGGATCCACTTCCTTCCATTCATCAAGGTGTGCTTGCCGTTCAATACATCCCCAGGTACTTGTGCTGAAATCCCAACCATACGTACAATTTGAAGACATGCCCTAGAGATAGAAAGCGTAGGAGAGAAGGATCGGTAGATTCCAGAGGCGGGTAGATCACAATAACGAGGCGGTAAAATAGCATACACTAGATGTTGACACCCATATGCCGACCGGGTAGACTTTTTTATAAAACACCATACAGAGCAAATCTTCCCTTCTACCGGGGTGGGAAATATGACCAAACAAACTCAAACATAAGATGCGGCACGAGAAAAGGTTTTAACCCAGGGTTCACTTCTTCTATTCATCATTTCCCAACTTTTTTGTCACTTCTTCCAGGGGCAAAAAAGTTAATTACATTAGATGTACAAATGTTATGTTACATTTAATGAGCAACTTGTCTACACGTCCACTTGTGAAGCTTTTGAACTTCCTTATCTTTTATAAAGTTATATTATTGTTCTAAATACACTAAACACGTAAACAACCACTAAACATTAAAAATAAAGTGAACAATCACTGATTATTATCAGTTATCACCATCTTCATCATCACCATCGTCACTTTTATAATGATCACCATTACTATTTTATCATACCACTGCTTTCTCCAATTCTAGTTTCATGCAATAGGTAAATCTATACATTTTAGATTTATGACTTGACATATATTGTTTTGTTGGAAATTAGAAAAGTATGATGTTCTTGCATGATATTTCATTCATCCAAATAGAGTTGTGTGGTTTCTATTAAAAGTAAAGTTGTGTAGTTCATATTGAATTGATAAAATGTGAACAAAATAATGATAAATTAAAACCGCATAAGTATTACCTATTATGATATGAGAGTATGAGACTAATAGGGGTGTTTGTCATTTCAGTTTCATCCATTCGGTGTTATGAGAAAGTATTGGTTATTTTCACACCTATCAATAATATTGTCCATTATTGATCTGACTGGTGCACTTTGATGCATAGAAACCAACCAGTGAAGGATGAATTTTAACATGTTTGCCAAGACTTTGCAAAAAAAAAAATGCAAGTCACTGTAGAGATATATAGGGCGCAAGTTACCTTAAATCTTCAGGTTCACCCTTCTTCGGAATCAAAGTAATATTAGTAATATTTACCTCTCGTGGGAGCCTCATTTTGTCAAGACTCTCTAAACAAGTCCACAAACTCAAAATCAGCAATGCTCCAGTAGTGTTGAAACTTGAAAGAAACCAGAATTAAACCGGCAGGATCATGGCGCTCTGTCGGGTGCATGCCATGTTATAAATCACTTTAATCACAAAAATTGGTTTTTGTCTGTGTGTACACTTTTATACTCCGTATATCTTAGCAGATTAGAATAAGAAGGCGCTTTTAAATACTATCTTATTAGTTACTCGTTTTGAAAATCAACTTATTAAATGGCCCTTGATTGTTTTCAGTTTTTGGTAAGGAATAAATTAGGCATTCCTTTACAAATAACTAAATTAAGCATACATTAAAAAGAGTTAATTTTGTACACTTATTTATTCGTTTGGAATATTTGCAGTATCTACTATTCTACTATCCAGAATGGTCCCTCCATTGATTATATAGTCGTATTCACAAAATATGTAATTTCTGTTCTCAAAGAAAGAGATCAAACGACCTAGCTAGAAGAGAGAATATATATATCTTTAAGAAAAATGGACTAAATCCATGATGCAATGACTCGGCCTGAAGAAGGGGAGAGGGAAGAAATAGACGTGATCGTAGTTGTAGATCCAATGGTCGTCATTGAAGCTCATATATCTTCATCAAGAGTATAACAATCTTCATCAAGATTCAAGAGTATAACAAGATCTAGTTCAACAACGTGCTTGTGGTTGTGGAGGGGCTACAGCAATAGATGAGCCCCAGGGAGGAGTTGGGGATTCAGGTGGTATAATAGGGAGAAGCTGATGGTTGTTGGTTAGGTTAATTAATATTTAGACTCTGGTTCTATAATTGTCTCTTGAAAAGAGAATATTATTTTTGACTTATTAATATTGGACTTATATATATATATATCAAAGGCTCAAAGTTAAATCCATTTATTAGTTCAGAATCTCGATTTTACAATTGAAATCGAGATTTGAACAACAGCATGGGTTCAACGACACACTTTCTACAATGTAGATTCACATCTAAGATATAACTATTCAAAAAGCCTTGGTCATTTTCTTTTCTACACCTCAATCGAATAGAGAAACCTAACAATATATCTTCATCTTCTAGGATTGCCAGAAATACATATAGCCACATTGACATTCTTGATAAATTTCCATTCAAGGATGAAACTGATGGATGGGTGATCCAAATCCGATTTATGCCCCAACCACCGTATTATTAGCCAGCAAAACAAAAATACAACTCTGTAATGTCAAAATGAAATGGCAAATGGGTAGGATTAATGATTAATGATCGGTCACCAACATGTTTTCAAGCTTTATTCGGTGTGATCGGGTGGATGAAGCGTATAAATGGATATCCATAGGCAATCTCCATCCCTGTTATGCAGTTCATGCATAAAAAAGAATTGTATGCATGACTAGCTTGTAGTGTTGATCGACTACCGACCGAGACAAGCCCCTCAACTAGATGGCCAGCAGAGGCAACCCAGGGATGCCTAGTAATGTCAAATTCAGCTAAGAGATTGAGTTCAAAAGCTTCCTGAGTTCCGCTAGATCACTGTTCCCAGGGTCATCTTCATCTTAACAGTGATCTAATAGAATTATTGGTATATTATGCGAGAGAAATCATCTCATCAGGCCGGCCTGACGGGCTGCCCCGTCCGGCCGAGCCCGTTTGGGCACCTTCCCGGTGGAATTTTTTGATGAAATTTTTTGAGCATGTTCCTCATCAAGTCTAGTTTGTCCATACCAAATTTCAGCTCAAAATTCGATCAAAATCCGGAATATACATATTCCGGACCAGTTAACTTGCAAAAACCATTTGACGACCTTCTCGATCGAATTTTGAGCTGAAATTTGGTATGGACAAACTAGACTTGATGAGGAACATGCTCAAAAAATTTCATCAAAAAATTCCACCGGGAAGGTGCCCAAACGGGCTCGGCCGGAGGGGGCAGCCCGTCAGGCCGGCCTGATGAGAAGAGCTCTCTATTATGCGAATATGTAAACTTTAACTACTAACACTAATTTAAAAAATTATTAGTCAAGCCTCATAAAATGAACAAAGAATTTTTTGGGGAGGGAGGGAGTATTGCATAATAAGTAAATAGTGATGGAAAATAGCTTGAAAGGAAGAAGCCGAGCCATATGTGTGTTCAGGAAAGTTGAAAGTCAGCCACGGATGGGAATGGGATACAGGTCTAATAAACACATTAATTTATTTGATCTAGCTTAATGTAGGAAGATAAATAGTAGGGGAACCATGCAGAATCCCGGCCGGAGCCTGGATTGTTATGCTGGTGAGTATGTTGGTTGGGTGGGCGAAAAAGCAGGTGGTGTCTTCGGTGTGTAATCGTAGGACACATGAGCCGGCACCCCCTGCTTAGGCCATTCTTCCAGAAATCTCGTAGTCAGCCTTCGCCTGCCGCAGGTGCCTGGAGGTGCCAACCCCAAATAGATTGGGTCCCGTTCAACCGGCGGTTCACACTGATTCAGCATGCCCATCAACAAACAACAATGTCAAAATCAACACTAAAGATGAAGAAGGAGAAGAATGGAGAAAGAAGAAAGTGACATACTCGCACGAAGTCCACCACATGCGCATAGCCATTCTGCAATATGATTGTATGAATTAGGAGGATACAAAGAAATGCAAAACCAAATCTATTTATATAATAATAAATGGTGGCCACCGTCATAGTTTTAACAGTTTTTTCCGGTGGATCCGGAAACTGATCTGCCAGAACACGACCCAGCTGCTTCAAATCAGGATCCACTTCCTTCCATTCATCAAGGTGTGCTTGTCGTTCCTTCCATTCCCAGGTGCTTCTGATGAAATCCCAACCATATATATTACTTGTAGACATGTCCTAGAGATAGAAAGCGAAGGAGCGAAGAATCGGTAGATTCCAGAGGAGGTAGATCACAATAACGAGGCGGTAGAATAGTATCACCAGATGATAATCTAGCGAATCAGACCGGGTAGACCTATTTATAAAATACTCCGTACCTTAAAGAGCAAATCTTCCCTTCCACCGGTGTGGGAAAGGTTTTACAATAACTTGTCTACATTTCTCGTGGTGAAATTTGTGAGCTTTGTTTTGTTTTGCAAAACTAACAAAAAAAATCTTTTGACGAACTTTTACACAGTTTTCTACACAGATTCAAAGAAATTTTCACAATTTGGTGGCCCGGGGTCTAGCAATGACCCCAAATACAAAGAGTTTTTTTCCGTATTAATGCTAATTAATTAAGTATTTACGAAAATAGGGTTGGGTTAAAAGTATAAGCTAGTCTAGTATCAAGAAATAAAGTTAAAAAAAAAAGATGGGCAAAATTGTCTTTTGAGACCCGCTGAATTTTACGACTATCGTGTCCGTAGGTCGCCCGCGCAGGGGGTGCAAATTTTCAATTCTGAACTACAAGTCGGAATTCTTGTGTGCGCGAGAGCTCCCCTCTTCTCACTCACCTTTTAATACTAAGTGAAGAGTGGTTCATATTTATTGGCACAAAAGTTCCCAAGGAGTTTATGTGTGGGAAAGTTTAAAAGATTCATTTTTCTCCTATACTTGAGAAGAGCATTTTTTCCATCTACCTTCTTTAAGAGTTAGTTTTTGAGCCACATCAAACTTCAAAGTCCAAAACTCCAACACCAAAGGTCGACACTACAATCAAAGCTTCCAAGAGCCAACCTTGAGACTCTTGGAATACCGATACGGTAACGGTATGACTTTTACAAATACCGGTATTTAGGTACGATAAGCGGTATGGCGTGAAAATTTCGGTATGCCATACCGAACCAGCCCTATTAACAGGATACGAGTGCAAATCTTGATAGAGATGCTCGACTAGTAAATATGCTCGCCTCCAATTTTTTGTAGTCATTTGGTATAAACTCTTTATAAACATGCAGAGTTCGTTGATCTTATTCATTTTTGTTAGAATCTTCATTCGTATTCTAATAGGGGTGTTGGAGTTCACATTAAAGAATGTGTAAGAATGGTTGTGAACCACAAATTCTTTGTCATAAAGGGAAAGATGAGATAATTTTGGGACGGACGAAAAAGAAAGTTTGAAGATAATTCATGGACGGAGGGAGTAGTTGAGATTTTTTTTGAAAGATATAGGCTTAAATTAATAACACATCAATTAGATAATAGGTAAAAAACCGCCGTCCCTCGAACCAGACTCAGAGTTTATCACCGCAGCAATATAACTCGCTGAATCATTAATGGGCACAAATAAACCAATCGGTCTAATTGGGTGGGTGAAGCGTATAAATGGATATCCATAGGTAATTTCCATCCCTGTTCCACTCTATTATGCAGTTCATGCATAAAAAGGTATTGTATACATGACTAGCGTGTAGGGTTGATCGACTACCTACCGAGACAAGCACCTCAAATGTAGGTGCAACCCATCAACTAGATGGCCAGCAGAGGCTCCCCAGCCAGCCCAGGGATGCCTGCTTAAGCCTAGTATTGTCAATGTTTTAATCGTCAAATTTAGCCAACAGATTCACTTCAAAAGCTTCCTGAGTTCCACTAGATCACTGTTCCCAGGGTCATCTTAATTTGTATATCAAATTCACATCAATTTTAAATGAAATTGTTGCGATTGAATAGACCTTTTTGTATATTCATTGGAAAATAGCTTGAAAGGGAGAAGCCGACCGATATGTGTTTTGAGGAAAGTTGAAAATACGCATCTGAATTGTTGTGATTCAATAGAACTTTTCTTACAGCATCTGAATTGTACCAACTTAACACTAAATTAAATATTCATTAGTCAAGCCCTCCCTCATAAATTGAACCAAGAACTTGAAAAGGAGAAGAAGCCTGGCCATATGTGTTTTAAGGAAAGTTGAAAATACACACAAGGATGGGATACAGGTATAATATTCACATTAATTTATTTGATCTAGCTTAATGTAGGAAAACATGAGAGATAAACTCCCCATATGCACCTCATATCTTACACATGTTATAACACACACATACATTTTGTTATGAGTGGATTCAAGTAAGCTCGTTAACGATCTTAAATGAAGTTTAAAGCTTGTTCAATTAAAACCTGCCAGAATTGTATGGTGTTGAGTCTGGAGTAATTGTATAGTTATCTATGGTGGTGAGAGTGTTGGCTCGGTGGGTGAAAAAGTTGATGCGCTTGGTATGTATGTGTGAGCGTAGGTCGCAGGATCAGGCCACAGGCATTCTGCGTTCTGCTTTTAACACTCCCTTGGTCCTCCTCTGATGTTGGGAAGGTGGGTGAAAAAGACAGTGCGCTTGGTATGTATGTGTGAGCCAAGGTCGCAGGATCAGGCAACCTCATCTTATTAGGCATTCTCCGTTCTGCTTCCAACTCTCCCTTAGTCCTCCTCCGCCTACTGCGAGTGCCTGAAGGTGTCCACTGCAAAAACCCTGGCTCCGGTCCCCACTCACACTGATTCAGCATCAACAAACAACAATGTCAAAATCAACACTAAAAGATGAACACGGAGAAGACAGGGCAAGTGATTATGTGACGTACCGGCACGAAGTCCACCACATGTCCATATCCATTCTGCAATATTATATGATGAATGAGGATACAAAGAATTACAGATCAATCTCCATTTATATTGGTATAAATGATTTGGTTTGATTTGGTTTGTATACTATTTCCAACTAATTGAAAATAGTCCTATATGTGCAATTAACTTTGCAATTAGTCCAACAAGTAACTATATCTTCATCCTCTAGGATTGCCAGAAATACCATTTCGATTCAAGGATGAAAATGGACAGGTGATCCAAATCCGCCAGAGTACCAATGTTATCACGCAAATTTTGAAGATTTATGCCCCGGCCACCGTATTAGCCAACAAAAGAAAATACACCTCAGTAATGTCAAAATGAAATGGGTAGGATTAATGTATCTGTCAAATGCTTGAGCAGTAGTGAGCAACATGTTTTCAAGTTTCAATCGGTCTGATCAGGTGGGTGAAGCGTATAAATGGATATCCAAAGGTAATTTCCACTCTATTATGCAGTTCATGCATTAAAAGGCAATTGTATACATGACTAACGTGTAGTGTTGATCGAGACTACCTACCGAGACAAGCACCTCAACTAGATGGCCAGCAGAGGCTCCCCAACCATCCCAGGGATGCCTGCTTAAGCCTAGTATTGTCAACGTTCTAATCCTAAAAATGTCAAATTCAGCCAAGAGATTCACTTCAAAAGCTTCCCGAGTTCTACCAGATCACTGTTCCCAGGGTCATCTTAATTTGTATATCAAATTCACATCAATTTAAAATGAAATTGTTGCGATAGAATAGACCTTTTCCGTATATTATGTGAATATGTAAACTTACCTACTAACACTAAATTAAAAATTCATTGGTCAAGCCCCATAAAATGAACAAAGAATTTTTTCGGGGAGGGAGGGAATACTGCATATTTTTTCGGGGAGAAGCCGACCCATATGTGTTTCAAATACGCATCTGAATTGTTGTGATTCAATAGAACTTTTCTTACAGCATCTGAATTCTACCAACTTAACACTAAATCAAATATTCATTAGTCAAGCATCCCTCATAAATTGAACCAATAACTTGAAAAGGAGAAGCCTAGCCATATGTGTTTTGAGGAAAGTTGAAAATACGCACAAGGATGGGATACAGGTCTAGTAATTACATTAATTTATTTAATCTAGCTTAATGTAGGAAAACATGAGAGATAAATAGTAGGGAAACCAGAACCTCGGGAGCCTGGAATGTTATGCTGGTGAAAGTGCTCCCTGGGTGGGTGAAAAAGCTGGTGCGCTTGGTATGTATGTGTGAGCGTAGGCCGCATAATCAGGGACCTGCTTCACAGGCATTCTGCGTTCTGCTTCCAACTCTCTCTTAGTCCTCCTCTGCCTACTGCAAGTGCCTGGAGGTCTCAACAGCAAAAATCTTGGCTCCTGTTCCGTCTCACACTGATTCAGCATAAGCATCAACAAACAACAATGTCAAAATTAACACTAAAAGATGAAGAAGGAGAAGACAGGGCAAGTGATTATGTGACGTACCGGCACGAAGTCCACCACATGTCCATATCCATTCTGCAATATGATTATATTAATGAGGATACAAAGAATTACAGAGCAATCAAACCAAATCTATTTAAGGAAGATGAAGATAAATGGAGATTACCGCGATAGTTTTAACAGTGCCTTTGGGTGGATCCGTATACTCATCTGCCAGACCACGACCCAACTGCTTCAGATCTGGATCCACTTCCTTCCATTCATTACGGACTGCATCTCTTTCAACAGCAAACCAGCCACATCTGATCTCATCCCACCCCAAAGTATAATCCCCACACATTTTGGGCAAGCTTGTCACTTCGATTCTCTTCTTTCCTTCCATTGAAGGACGACCAAAGCTTACGGAAGAGACGTAGGAGAGAAATCAGAAGAAACTGATCGATGGTTCCGGAGGATACGCTTATTTGTAAAGCACCGTTTAGAGAAATTATGCTCTTTCCACAGGTGTGGGGAACATTAATGGGAGGATTTTTAATCCAAGGTGATCTTCCTAGTTCCTATACATTGTTTTGAAACTTTTGAACAATTTCTTTAACTATTCTAGATCCCTGAACAACCACTAATCATCGTCATTTTTATAATTCAAATACTTCGTATTTTTTTAATTCAGGAATGTCAGAAGAGTGAGGAACAGAAGTAGAAGAAATACAAAGAAGCATTGCAGCAGATAAATTAATTTAAAAAGCATGCTAAGAGGAATGGGGTTATGTCTAAAATAATACTAAAAAAAGAGCTATGAACAAAAAAGAGACCTTTATTTCAATTTTCCAAAAATGAGACTAACAATAGGTTAAGAGACTATTATACCCTTATTTTAATAGAATCTCACCCATTAGTCTACAATAATGCCACAGTGACCAAAACCATTATCGTGACCAAAATTCGTCACTGACCAAAAATCATTTGTGACCAAAAATCCAAAAATCCGTCAGTGACCAAAATCATTAGTGACAAAAAATTCTACCTAGTTACCAACGTCAACCCGTCCAGTGACCAATCCGACTAGTGACCATGACCAATCCACCCAGTGACCAAAAATCATTTGTGACCAAAATTCCAAAAATCCGTCAGTGACCAAAATCATTAGTGACCAAAATTTTTACCTAGTTACCAACGTCAATCCGTCTAGTGACCAATCTGACTAGTGACCATGACCAATCCATCTAGTGACCAAAAATCATTTGTGACCAAAAATCCAAAAATCCGTCAGTGACCAAAATCATTAGTGACCAAAAATTTTATCTAGTTACCAACGTCAATCCGTCTAGTGACCAATCTGACTAGTGACCATGACCAATCCACCCAGTGACCAAAAATCATTTGGGACAAAAAATCCAAAAATCCGTCAGTGACCAAAATCGTCCAGTGACAAAAAATTATTAGTGACCAAAAATTCAACGGTCACTCCACCGCCTACGTCGGGCCGCCAGTGACACCGCCACCTTCGCCCAGTGAACAGTCGCTCACCCCGTCCAGGCCCTACCCCAGGGCCACTCCCAAACCTTACACACACACTCCCCTGGTCTGACAGCCCCTACACCTTAGGCTGTTCCGGCGGGACCACCGCTGTGGCAGGCGGTGATTGCCGCTGCCCCGGGCCCACCCCCCCGCTCTTTCATTACCACCCCCCAGCCACCTCCCAGCCCCTTCCCTCACCTCTTCTTTGTCACTGCCCACAGACCTTGCCGGAAAACCCACCCCCTGCCCCTCAACATAATTTCATCAGTCTCGTTCACTGCCAGACCTGCCATCTCCGCCGCTGCCTCTTCCCCAAACCCGGCCACCCGCCCCTTCCCCCACCCTAGCCGTCGCCACCCCCAACCAGCCTTATCCGCCTCCACTTCCCCGCCCTAGCCAGACACATTAGCCATCACAATCCTATTGAGAAACCTTAGCCGTTCTGTTGTAGATCTGGATTCCAAAATGGTGAACAATTTAGTCGTCGATCGTCGCCGCCTTCCACCGACCGCCAAACTCGTCCATCATCGTCTTCAACAAACAGCCGCCGTCCTTCGTCCGTCATCCATCGACTGCCCGTCGAATTCGTAGTTGCTGGAGTCGGACGAAGTTGGAGATCGTAGAGGCATCGATGTCTCGATGAGAGAGGGCGTGGAAGATGTTTCGCGGATGGGAAAAGCCGGAGAGCTGGACATGAATTAAAATTAGGGGTATTTTGGCCCTTCCGGATAAATTAGGTCTCTTTTTTGTCCCAATTAAATTTAAGTCTTATTCTTGTCTATTCACAAGCCCCCAATATTATTTCTGTCATTATTTCAAGAGGAATTCTACTCTTACACGTGTGTGAGAGGGATAGAACAAAAAAAAAACATTAAACATAAAAATCAAAAAATTGGTAATATTTATGTAAAAAAGAAAAACTCTTCTAAAAATCAAGGTTGACTTCATATTCCAATTATATTATAGCCATGGCTCCAACCTAAGTAAGTTTTTTACAATTTTGAATAGGTGATCAGTACATTACCCATTTAAAAGAGACACCGTAGATTAAATTCATTTGATTGGTCCAAGACATTACGATTAAATTCATTTGATTGGTCCAAGACATTACATCACTTTTAATTTTCATTTTATTCCATTATTTGCAATGGAGCCAAAAATTCACTATTTTTTGACTTGAGAATATGATGGAATAAAGCAAAATGACTCACTAAACTGTCTGCGCTTCTTTGTTACGAAGAAACGGTTAGTCCATGCAATTTTGAACGCGATTTTCACTATGGGTCATCCGGAAACAGTCTCTCCGAGCTTTAGTACAGGGGTAAAACTGCGTACATCCGACCACCCTTACCCCATTGTTAGTGGGAGCCTTTGCGACACTGGGGTAAATGAAGATGATGAAATGAAAATGATGATTTCAATTACAGTATTTTGATCGGTTCATGTGGACATATGTATGGTATCTTCTTAGTACAAATGTACAATAAAATCTACCTTTACAATATCCTGTTTTTACTAACTACGGAGTAAGGTTAATTTAATTGTGCCGCGCCTGATATATTCATTCTCTTACCCAGTTGTAAGCATTTTTGTTTATATGTAAAAATGTTGCCCTCGTGCAAATTTATATGTATATAATTATTTTAATTTTAAACCAGATTTTTTTTCACAATTTTTTTACAAAAAGTTTGTTTACGCTTTTTACTTTTATTGGATAATTTTGTTGCTTTTTTGTTTATAAATATAAATAAGAGTCTCACTATAAAGTACTATACTACTTTTGTTCCAATTTGATGATCTGGTTTCTTATTCAACTAGCACAGTACATGTGCATACGCACTGGGAAAAACAGTTGGTCTATATATATACTTTTATTCACAATCTAATAAAATATAAAAATAGTTTTTTTATTTACTTTTTACATAATTTCAAAAATGGAGTACGATAAGTGAATATAAAAAAGTACAAATCCTTACAACAAATAATCAAAGTAAAGAAAATCGAAATATAAAAATATCGACATCATCCATTAGAATTTGCTCCATAGTAATAATTAGTATTGTTAGGTGTTTTTTGTTGTTGTTGAGAGTAGGTGTTATGTATGTGATTGTGAAGATGTGTGTTGTATGTTTTATAATGTGTTGTATCTGCCTCGTAACACTCAAACAGGAGAAGAGAGACCTTAGTTATAGCAAACAGATGAGTCCGGGTTGAACTGGGGCGAAAAACTTGCTGAAATGCTGTTTTCGGACTTAGGCACGATCGTGCCTACCTGACAGTAGTTGTTGGCCTTCGCACATATATCAGGGGTAAGTCGCCCAACCGTTGGGCGACGTGACTTACCCCTGACCATGGTTAAGGCCAGCAGTAGATCGGTAATAACTTTTTTTTCCAGCATTATTTTCGTAAATAATTATTTAATTAACATTAATTCGGAAAAAAAACTCGTTTCTTTTTGTACCAATTCAAAAACATAAGGGGTGCCGGGGTGCGCACATCTTATTTACTATTGGATTATCATAGGAGTAATTTACAAGAAAACCACTATGAACCCAAGCAAATTTTACTTATATATCTACTCAAAAAATCAGCATTGTAATTTCTTTAATAGATTTTTGTGTACATGTTTAGTTTCGTTTTTCTATTCTCATTTCCTATAGAATTCTTTACATATTTTTTATGTACTTTTTTAGTTTCCTTTTTCTATTCTCGTTTCCTTTTAGCATGTTTGGTAAATACTAAATAGTAATTCCTCATAGAAAAATAAATAGTAATGAATATATGATTGAATTAAACGTATTGGATAAAAATGTAATATTTTATATTCCAGTGGCTTTGTAAATTTACACAATAGTCATCATGATTATATACACATAGAAATTTTAGTCACTTTTTGTTCATAAATTTTATTTTAGTAATATTTAAAAAAACACAAAATTACTTTCGTTCTGGTGGGCCTAGACAACTTTAAATAAGTTGTATCATAAAAGAATTTTAAATAAGTTGAGAAAAAAGAAAAGTAAAAGTTGTGTAGTGGATGTTTGTGCAGAGGAAAAAGAAATGAGCGTCGTCATAAATGAGTTATTTTAATGATCGGAAAATGACAACAAAATTTAAACAATAAAAAAAAGAAAAAATTGACAAGAATAATCTCACCTTTCACTGGTCTTCTCATAATAATCCCACCTTTAAATAATTCCAAAATAATCTCACTTTTGCACCTCATCTTCTTTCATTGGACTTTGACCAAGTTTTTTACCTTTTTTAAAAATCTTATATAAATAATCTCACATTTATAAGGATATAATTAAAAAGTGAAAGATGAGATTATTTGTATAATTTTCAAAGAAAGAGTAAAAAACATGGTCAGGGTCCAATGAAAGAAGATGAGGTGCAAATGTGAGATTAGGTGGGATTATTATAAAAAGACAAGTGAAAGGTGGAATTATTCTTGTCAATTTTTCCTTTTTTTATTGTTTAAAAATGTCTAATGAGAGAAAGGAAGTTTAAAAAATTGTTTACACCATGTATTGTTTATGTGTCATATAGAATTTTATGTGTGGTTGTATAAAATGTTTAGTTGTTAATTATGCTCGTAATTTTTCAAACTCACATACCCTCAAGGTGTGGTTAAAACTGTTAATGTTATAGAAATTACTTCAAATAGGACTAAAACTATGGCAAAAACTCAAAATAGGACTTGCTATGTTTTTTATTCCAAAATAAGACCATAGTGGTCCTATTGGAAACATACTCATTTCTTCCTTCCATTCTTACCCCTCCTTTAAATATTAGTGAAAGATAGCTAAAAGTCATAATTAAATGTTTAATTCATAATAAATTCGAAAAAATTTCAATAATTCGTAGAAAAATAATAAAAAAATTAATAAAATTTTTATAAAATAAAAAATAAGATTTTTTTTTAATTTTTTTATTTTTTTTGAAAATTAATAAAAAATAGTAAAACTCCATAAAAAAAATTAAAAAAAAAATATGGATACCTTTCCCACCGCCTGTACTACCTCCCTGAACCACCACCTCCGATCGGTGTAAAAAATGCCACTTTTTTTTAAATTCCACAAAAATGGCATATTTCTCTATGAGAATGCCAACATTTTCAATCTGCCAACTTGAATCCTTTTGACTTTTGCCAAAAATATGGCATTCATAATTTTTTTGGCATTTTTTTACCCCGGCGACAGGAGGCGGTGGTACCGCCTCCCTGCACCACCACCTCCGACCGTTAAAAAAATGTCATATTTCCTACAAACTTCCATTTTTTTCAGAAAATGCCAAAAATATGGCATATTTCTCTTTGAGAATGCCAACATTTTTTTTCTTCCATCTTAAATCATTTTGAATTATGGCAAAAATATGGAATTCATAATAAATTTGGCATTTTTTTCCCCAAATGACTAGAGGTGGTGGTGCTGGGCCGGCAGAGGCGGCGGTGACAAAAAAAATATTTTTTTGATTTTTTTTTTAATTTTTTTTTAATTTTTTTTATTTTTATTTTTTTTATTTTTTTTAAAATTTATTATTATTCAAAATATTTTTATTAATTTTTTGGTATATTTTACGAATTTTTATTATTTTTTATTATTTTATTATGAATTAAAACATTCCAATAGGTATAAGGGTATATTTGTCCAAGACACACATAATTAGTCCTATGGAAACATAGTTTATTTTTTGGTCCTATTTGTGCAAAGTGAATGACTTTTAGTCCTATTTTGATAATTAACTCTTAATGTTAATGTATAAGGGATGTTAAAAATCATAATGTCATATACACCTCTTGGCAAAAATAGATATATGTAATAAAAACATATTTGTTGCAAGAATACAATATACTACGGTATTTGCCTATAAAAGATAGTTGCATAGATCTTTGCAAATGTGTTAATCACTTAGCATATTATATCTCATCATGTTGATTCACAACATTATATTTCTTTTGCGTTTTTCTTTCTTTTTTTCTTCTCTCTCCCTCTTTCGTCCGCTCGTGCGGTTCTACCTTTGGTGACAAATGCTCTTGTTCCAATCACAACCTGAGCGTCATCGTGCGATTAGTCTCGTGGTTTTCTGATCGCGCATTCCTGTTTGTAGGTTCATCACTTCATCATCATCATCAAATTGTTTTTTTTCATGAAGATTTTTTTTTGAACAGTTAATGAAGATTTGTGTAGCATTTGGAACTATGTCCTTTTAGTCCCAAATAAGTCGTGATCGTTCTCACAAAGAAAGGGCTGCGATGCATTAAATTCATTCATGCTATTCTTGTCTAAAGAACCCATTTTTTTGTATTCTCTCGTGAGTATCAGCGGAAAATGTGGTTTTCCGATTGGACAACACTACGACCCTTATTATGAGTAAGAAAGTGTCAGTAATATAAACATGACGTCGGAGAAACAAAAGTGATAGTGTTTGTCCGTAGGTGGGGTCCGGGAAAATTGAAAATCAAATCAAATAAGTTGAACCGCAACCAAATAAGACCGAACCACTCAAAAACCGAAACCGAATGTAAAAAACTGAACCGAACCAAAGTGTTGTTTGAATCACTTTTGGTTTTTACCCTTCAAAACCGAACCGAATAAACCGAACTAATTAAAATTTGAAATTTTATTTGTTAATTGTTAAGGATTGATCCTAATACCAACGATAGTATTTTGTATTCTTGTGCTAGAAAATTAATTTTTGTTTTGTGTTTAGTTTGGTTTAAATATAAATGCATTTACACATTCATTAATTAGTATAATGTAGTTATATTGATCTATTATATCTTTTGTGTATGTATGTTGCAATTTATTGCATGATGATGATATGTTTTTATTAGTTATTACTAGTAATTAACTTTTATTTTTATGTAACTTAAACTTTTATATTGATAGAACAAGTAGATATTAATCTCAACTATATCACATATAACATATATATTAATAAACTTTTTTCAACTAGTTGTAAACAATGTAAACTAAATATAGGAGCCCCTATGTGTGTGTGCGCGCGCATTCGTGTGTGTACGTGCGTGTGTGTCTGTGTGTGTGTCGGCATATCGCATGAATAGCAAAACAATTTGCTCGGCTTAGGGCATACATTTCTATCTCTAACCAAAGAATGAGTAACCTTCGGACCATTATAAATCTAGGGAGAGAAATGATTCTGATTATTTTGATTTGGTTTACGAATTGTGATTCTGAAATTTATGAAATTATGGCTGAAGTGATTGTATTCTCTGATTTTGTTAATTTATGAAAAAATTATATTTAAACTATGTTTCATTAATAAAATATAGAACAAATTATATGAAAAACAGCTAAAATGATCATTTGCAGACAAGAGTAACTTAAACAAATACTTTCAGAAAATAACTTCAATCTTAATTTTCCGTATTATTACACCACATAGTATGAGAAATCAAAAGTTATGTAATGTATTTGATAAAAAATTATATTATCATGATACAACATACGTGCTCCCTCCGTCCCAATTTGTTTTGCAATGTCAATATTTTTTTGTCAACCAATAATAAAAGTCGATTCTCTTTACGGATAATTAACTCGATTTTTAATATTTAAAATTTACATATTCATAAATAATATTCAAATCTTTTCAAAGTCGTAAACACCAAATTTAGAATATAATTAAAAATTGACATGCTAATTAAACGAATAAAATAAAACTGTTTAACCAAGAAAAATCAAATTTGCAAATAAATCTGGGACGGATGTAATATTATTTATCTATATGACATCTTCACCATATTCAATGTTAAAATATTTCACTGCCAATTTGCCATTATCTCGTCCCACTGTTCCATGTAAAAATCATGGGCGGATTCGAAGGATAAATGAAAAATGCGGCGGCCCGCGGATACTGCCACGGCTCTACTTCTCTTCTTCAACGTGTCCTCAACTCATTCCTTTGCCATTAATATTACACGAAGCAGAACTGCTCTCTCTCCAGTTCACCGCTTACTTGTTTATCACCCATATCAAAATGGAAGGAAAAAAACTTCGACTCATTAAGCTTCCCCTCCTCCTCTCCCTATTCCTGTTGCTAATCTTGGCGCCGCCATCTTCAGCCGCCGCCGCCGCCGCCGCCGGAAGGAAGGTAGGCGGAAGGAAGGAGGTGAAGGACGTGAAGAGCAATCAAGAGATTCAAGAATTGGGGAAATACTGCGTTCTAGAGTACAACAAGAAGAACCTCCACGGCAAAGCCGAATTGCTCAGCTTCTCGGAGGTGGTGGAGGCGGAGACGCAGGTGGTGTCCGGGATAAAGTACTACCTCAAGATCTCCGCCGCCACCGCCGCCAATGGTGTCCGGGGGTACTATGATGCGGTCGTATGGGTCAAGCCGTGGGCGGCGAAACCCAAGAAGGTTCTCAAATTTGCACCTTCGTCTCCCCAAGGAGTTTCGGGTTTGGCTCACAAATCCAACCCAAGTATAATTAATATTGATATGTTAGTATGAGGGAGCATTATGATGAGATCTTATCTTGTTGTAGAAGATTGATGGTTGGACATATGAGCTGATCCATGAATCATTCTACTATGTAGAAGGGTTGTTTTTCTCCAATTTTCAATCATGGAATAATAAGGGGAGAAGTGCAATGACTATTATGTTCTTAAATCTTGTTTTTTGTTTAACCTTTTTTGCTTTAAGGGAGTAGTATGCATGTTGTTTTTGAATTTACTAGATAATGTGGGAATCAAGGAGAGAATTAGAGAGTTTTATGAGAGAGCCATTGCCAATTTGCCTCCTGCTGAGGAGAAACGTTATTGGCAGAGATAAATATACTTGTGGTATGAAAAGTTTTTATGGTGATCATGCGTTTTGAATTATCATTATATTTAATTTCATAGATGTCAATCGCTGGCTAAATTTTTATTTTTAGGATCAATTATGCTTTATATGAGGAGCTTGATGCACATGACATGGAACGCACTAGAGACGTCTATAGGTAAATTTGATTGACCATATTTATGGCTTTAGGCCATATTGTCAAAGTTGTTTTAGGTAGTACAATACACTGATAAAGGTTACATTATTTTTCAAATATGTGTTCCATGTTTTGAACACAGAAAGTGGCAGAGAAAGTTAAATTTGTTGATGGACATAGCTTTTTAAATCTTTGGTATCACCTTGGAAAATGCAAGGAAAATTAATTTGATTAAAAATCTTTATAAGTTTACCATATTGTTAGATATCTTTGTCTTGATACAACATAAATATATTAATAAAATGAAATAGAACAGATATCTTAAATCAATTTTGAGGTGTTTGGTTGTATTTTCATTCCAGAATCCAGACTGACTGTTCAGCTCTCTGGAAAGAACTTTTTCCTTGGGATATTTGATAAATTTTTTATATTTTACTATTGACAGGGAGTGTCTAAAATTGATCCCTCATAAAAAGTTTTCATTTGCCAAGATATGGCTTTTAGCAGCCCAGTTTGAAATAAGGCAGTTAAGGCTTAATGCTGCCCGATCAATCCTTGGAACAGCAATTGGAAAGGCTCCAAAGGACAAGGTATTTACCCATTAGTAGTTTACTTGAGGGAAAAAGCAATGTTACTTAAGGCAGTTTGAAGCTGACCTTTTGGATTTTATAATCTTTCATTTGGGGTTCTCAACATTCTACAATCTTTTGATTGTTTTCTGATGGGTGTTTTTGTAACATACAGATATTCAAGAAGTACATTGAAATAGAATTGCGATTAGGCAATATTGATCGTTGCCGAAAACTTTATGAGAAATACTTAGAGTGGTCCCCAGAGAACTGTTACGCTTGGACAAAATTTGCTGAGCTGGAAAAGTCTTTGGATGAAACGGAGCGGGCAAGATCTATTTTCGAGCTTGCAATTGACCAAGTTGCATTGGACATGCCAGAGTTACTATGGAAGGTATGGTCCTAAATCTTATCTAATCTTATCCACAGTTTTTGGTGTTGCTAAAAGTGGCCTTGAATATGCCTGGAATCTTTTCTTATTTGATTGTGTGCCTTTTGATGTTCTTATTTTTCTCAGTAAGAATTGGAGTTCATATTGCATATTTGATACTTCTATTTCTTAAAAATACTTGGCATAAAACCGGTTCAATTAGAATTTTTAAGAAGTCATAAAGGAATATGGAAGTATGGATGTTCGTTTTGATGTTACAAAACATACTTATAAACCGTTTTAATTCTTCAACCTATTCTAGGCGTACATTGACTTTGAGATATCAGAAGGAGAATTTGAAAGGACTAGAGCATTGTATGAGCGGCTTCTAAACCGCACAAAACATTTGAAAGTGTGGATTAGTTATGCTAAGTTTGAAGCTTCTGCTGTAGAAGGGGACTCCTCGGACCCTGAACAACAAGACGTCAGTCATGAACAAAAGGAAGAAGGCTTACACCGGGCTAGAGGTAAAACATTCTTATCTTCATAATAGAACATTCTTCCATCCATCCCAATAAAGAGTTTGTTTTAGATTTTTTTACACTTTTTTCCTCTAAAACAATGCTCAGTTAATAATGTTAATTTTGTTATGTTAATATGCCTAAGAAATGTGTCATCGGCAGGCTACATATTTACGCACTACTTCTGTCCCCGAAAAATAGTCATGTTTGTGTAAGATGACCTATGAATGGTCACGTGTATCTTCAAAACATATTTTTCAAGATTATTTAGAGTAATTCACTAAACCTGCTTGCTTCTTGGTTTTAAAGAATATAGTCAATAGACAGATGAAAACTGACTTTTAAAATTACTCTTTTTTGGTAGAAAAAGAGGTATTTCAAGGACGGTCTTTCTTTTTTGGATGGGGAGGAAGTAGGATAAATGTAGTTATAACTAATAAATATGTGAGAGTTGTAGGAGGTAGGGGGGGTCCGGGGGGTTTAAATTTTTGGTGGGCCAACTAGTCGTTGGGAGTCCCCCAAACGGCTCTATAGCCGTTGGAGGAGGTAGGGGGGGTCCGGGGGGTTTTGGGGGGTGGGGGTGGGGATACAAAAAAAAAACCTATTTATACTCCTATTTTCTATACATTTTTTACACATCTTCTCCAACTCTTCCTACTCTCTAATTCTCTATTCTGTCAATCTCTAAAATCTTCATTCATCTCCATCTTCATCTTCTCCAATTATATATATATATATATATATATATATAGAGAGAGAGAGAGAGAGAGTAGTCTTCTTGTCCAGCCGGCCTGACGGGAACCGCCGTCCGGCCGAGGGCATTTCGGGCACTTCCCTATGAAATTTTTTGATGAAATTTTTTGAGCATGTTCTTCATGAAGTCTAGTTTATCTATACCAAATTTCAGCTCAAAATTCGATCGGGAAGGCATTCAAATAATTTTGTGAAGTTAACTGGGCAGTTTATATGTATGAACTGCCCAGTTAACTTCAAGAAATTATTTGAATGCCTTCCCGATCGAATTTTGAGCTGATATTTGGTACGGATAAACTAGACTTCATGAAGAACATGCTCAAAAAATTTCATCAAAAAATTCTATCGGGAAGTGCCCGAAATTCCCTCGGCCGGACGGCGGTTCCCGTCAGGCCGGCTGGACATGAAAAGTCCTCTATATATATATATATATATATATACACACACACACGCACACACACACACATATTATTTATATAATTATTACATCTACTTATATATTAATTATCTACTTATATATACATATATTATATTACTAATATTTATTATCTACTTAATATATATTTATTATCTTCTTAATATTTACTTTGATATCTACTTATCATCTATACTTATTGTTATTTACTTATATATTAATTATCTACTTTACATACATATATGATATTACTTATATTCCTTATCTAGTTATATTACCTATATTACAATTTATATCTACTTAATATACACTTTATATATTAAAGTATTAAATATAAGTGTATTACTCATTTATAGTAGTATACTTATATATTATATACTATAAACATTATATATATATTAATATACTTATATATATTAATTCGAAGTATATATAATAGTTATATATTATATACTAATATATAATTCGAAGTATATATTAATTCGAAGTATATATAATATACTTATATATATTATACTTTCTTAATTCGAAGTAATACATATATATTAGTTACACTTTAATTAATATTAGTTAAATTGTTTCTATTAGTCCCATTAATTAGTATACACTTTCATACATTAGTCTTATTTGTTTAATTTTGTATTAACGTTACTTGATTAGTTAATTAGTATTTACACGAATTGTTTAATTTTTCATTAAAGTAGTTGATTACTTCATTACATTTTTTTATTAATTGCTACCTTTGACTCTACTTTAAAAAAAAGTTAATTCTCATTATAGTTCTTTACATAGTAAAAAAAAATACCTAGTACAAAATACCTAGTTCTTTATAGTTAATTAGTTCATTACATTTGATTGTTAGTAAAAAAAAAAATACCTAGTACAAAAAACTAGTTAATTGATTAGTTCAAATAACTAGGTCAAAAAACTAGTTAATTCCTTACTTTATATTGTACTCACATTTTATTAATATTTTTTGTACTCACATTTTACTAATATTTTGTACTCACAAAAACTAGTTAATTCTTTGCTATAAATTTTGTACTCACATTTTATTAATATTTTCATTTTAGTTCAATTCACATTTTAATTAAAGTACTTCACATTTCACTCGAATTTTTTTTTATAAAAAAAAATAATAGTATAAAACTAGTTAATTTTATTAGTCGCATTTTATTATTACTATTGTACTCATATTAAAATATTTGATATAGTTAATTGTTTGTTACATTTAAAAGATGGAACGTGGTAGACATTCTGTAGATATGGGTAATCTTCAACGCAATCGAAAGAAGGAAGTTGCGACAACTCATCCTAGTTTACGCAAAGGTAAAGGTAAAGTGCGGGCCGGGTCTACTTCTCAAAGTCGAGAGGATTTTGAACCGGAATACCAACGGCGAGATGGGGATGCGATGTCCGACGAGCAACTACAACAACTATTGACGCAAAATGATGGCCGCTTTTTCCATCAATAAAGCATCTCCGAGTCCATTCACACCATTGACGAAGACGAGCTCGAGGATGACGATGCGGATGAGGACGCGGGGGGCAACGGCGGTCACGACAACCCGGATGATGTGCAAGATTTGGAGGACGAGGATGGTTCATCCCAAACGACCCAAACTGGTAAGACATCTAAATCTCTTCTTATGAAAAATAATTATACAAAGAGGAAAGACAACAAAACGGAGAAATGGTACACATGAACTTGCAATCATTGCAAAAAGGAGTATAGCTTGGGAGTTTCCGGCGGATACGGGAGCCTCAAAAGGCATCTTAAGGCCAAGCACCCAATGGAGTATGCGAAATTAGAGGAAGACAACGGAAAGCAAACTCAAATTTCGAGGTTTGCAAATAACCAACAACCTTTTGGTAATTTCTCATACAACGCTGCACAAAATTTGACAGGTATGGCTAACTTACTTGTTGAAGAAAATTTGCCTTTTTTGTTTTCTGAAAGTGTTGCTTTAAAAGATTATGCACAAACTTGTTTAAATCCTCAATTTAGAGGTTATAGTCGCAAAACGGTTAAAAAAGAAATCATAAGGCTTTATCGTGCGGAAAAGACAAGGTTACAAGATTTTTTTGCAAACTTTGATGGACGTGTAACTATTTGTTCTGATATATGGGAGGATGAATTTCATCATATATATTATTTGGGTCTGACTGCACATTTTGTTGATCATGATTGGAATATGGATAAACGTGTTCTAGCTTTTCGTGAATTTAATGAACGTCACACCGCTGAACATATTTTTATTTTAATGGAGCATATTTTAATTGAGTATAATTTGTTTGATAAGGTGTTTGTTATAGGTTTTGATAATGCTACTAATAATACTGCTGCTATACCGAAATTGCGTGAATTGTGTGGTGCTAATACTTTGATGGGCCGATTTTTTCATCAACGATGTGCATGCCATGTTATTAATCTATGTGTGCAGGACGGTCTCAAAGCGTTAGGTGATGCTTTGGAGGAAGTCAAGGGGGGTATTAGACGTATTTGGGCTAATGGCCAGCTTAGATTACAATGGAAAAATTATTTGACTGAAAGAGGTGTTAAATATATTTCTTTTTCTAAAGATTTGTCTATTCGTTGGAATAGTACTTACAAATTAATTAAAGTTCTTTTTAGATATAAAGAACATTTTGCTGTTTTTTTAAAAGAATATGATAACTATATTTTAAACTCCGCTCATATCAACACTTGCAAAAAGATTTGTAATGTTTTGGTATATTTTAATAATGCAACTGAAAGTTTTAGTCATGTTTATAAACCTACCTCAAACCATTTTATTCGTGAAGCGGTTAATCTTGCCGATGCTTTTCAACAATTTGAGGATGCCGATTACGTGAGCTATTTTTGTGGTTTTATGAAGGAAAAGTTTTTGAAATATTATGCACATATTCCGCATATTTATGGTATTGCATTTATTCTCGATCCTCGTTTTAGAATGTGTAATTTGGAAGAATGTTTAAAGTTTTATTATCATGCTTTTTTTGGTCCAATGGCTACGTATGACGATAAGGCCTTAGATCCGGCAGTAGAATACAACGAGGTTAGTACTTTATTTTATGCCTTATTTAATGAGTTTCATGCACAATATGCCAACGCGCCCCCTCCCCCGACACAAACATCTTCATCTAAAGGAAAATCACTTTTTAAATCTGCATTTGGCAATTTTATGAAAATGAGGTTGAGTTTGATGAAAATGAGGACTTTGACGTTCTAAAGTGGTGGAAGTCAAAAGAAAGAATGTTCCCGATTTTAGCACAGATGGCTAAGCAAGTGCTGTCAATGCCGGTTTCAACGGTTGCCGTAGAGCAAGAATTTAGTGCGGCCGGGATCGTCCTAACCCAATCTAGAACGAGTTTGAGCGCGGAGTCTCTTGAGACTCTTATATGCTACCACGATTGGTTGAAGGCCATACGTAGAACTCAAGAAATTAACATCACCCCCTCCCAAGACTTTATGGATGAATCAACCGAGGGTGACTCTACTTATGCCGGAGATTCCGATTGATTAGTATTTTACAATTTATTATAATGTATTTCATGTTTTAATTTTTCCCTCAATTCTCTATTGTAAACTTGTAGTTCATATTCAAATAAATATAAGTTAATTTTTTTATATGTCGCACTTCTCGAATTAATTAATTGGTTACAAGTTACAACTTAAAAAGTTAGAATTAATTATATTATTCTTATATTGCATTTCATATTGTATTTTTGTTCTCAATTATCAAATGTAATTCCTATTTGACATAAATGCACTTGAAACTTGTTTTTAATATACAAAAGATGTATAATAAACAGGAAAGAAAAAAAAAGGCCCAACCCGACCCGGCGGGTGGCCCGACCCGGGGCCCGGCCGGCTGACCCGGACCGAACCGGAACCGCCCTTGGTACGGGCCGGGCTCGGGCCTGCATAAAAATAACCTAGGCCCGGCCGGGCCCAGGCCCGAGTCCAGGCCTATACCAGAGTGAGGGCACAACTTCACACTGATTTAATTATAATTATATTCCTACATTAAACTAATGTAATGGAGCGTTTCTTAAAAGATAAAGTTACAAATGACTAGAGAAATGATTGACTGAATATTGTTAGAAAGAAAAAGAAAGGGATTATTTCACAAATATTAGTAAAATACGGAGTAAAACTTATTTACACAAATATATGACTAATAGTTACTACAATCTAGAGTCATGGTAATTTAACTTTAAAACATGAACATAAGCTACTATAATTCTATTATTACTCTATTCACTAGTCATAAATACAGTATGTAATTATTTCAAAAAAAGTTTAGCATGAAAAATGAATGATCATTGTGTGAATGCAAGCATTAGCATCTTTACTCTTTTCGGAGAGGATGAGTATATTTTCTTATAAAACAAGTTCTCATCAAGACAATTTTAAAAACATTGTGAGGTATATATATTTAAGCTTGTTGGCTGAAAATAATAATTTATAGGTTGCCAATTTTGCCAATTCAATGTGTTTATTTTCTATTTTCTCATTTTAAATAACTTCACTTTGAATACCAATAAAAACATGTCAAGATTAAGAAACTTAAATAGTGTCACAAGTTGTATAATGAAAGCTTTAGTATTCATAATGCTCAAGCTCTCCTATACATACACTCCACGCCCGATGAATATGTGCAGATTAAAATCATTAATCATCGATCCTTGTACCAAATTTTGAACCAAATAAATTATCCATGAAGGCAGCTCTCCTACATTTGATTGACTAAGAAGCCGTTATTGCATTTAAGCACCTTATTTTATAACTCTGAAAAGTACAATCTTCTAAGCAATATGACTACAAATTACATATGTGAAGCATGGTGAGAATAAAAGATGTTTAATGGTTTTGACAGAATAATGATAGAAACTTTTCTTAATATAAATTAGACACGTTGACCGAAGAATAATGAATGTGAACCTTTAAATGGGACGGAGGGAGTAATAAATTTTCTGACGTTTCCATTTGGAGGTTTACATCTCAGTTAAAAAAATACCAAGAAAATCATTGGCAAATTTTCTGGCGAATTCTTGATTCAATTTACCACGATGGCCAGCAGAGGCTCCCCAACCAACCAGGCAGGGACGGATTTAAGGGGGGGGAGGGGGGCGACCGCCCCCTTGGATTTTCAAGTTTTTCTACTATATATGTAGTATTTTCATAAAAAGTTCATACTTTAATTAGATATATATATATATATATATATATACACACACACACACACACACACATGTATATATATATATATAGAGTATGAGTGATGTTCGAGTCAGGCGGCCTGACCGGACAGCCCCATGCGGACTTCCCCGTTTGGGGGTCTTCCCGGTGAAATTTTATTATGAATTTTTTTTAGCATTTTCCTCATCAAGTCTAGTTTATCCACACCATATTTCAGCTTAAAATTCGATAAGGCAGTCAAATAAATTCTTGGAACATACTGGTCATTCTGCGCATATATAAAGACCAGTATGTTTCAAGAATTTATTTTACTGCCTTGTCGATCGAATTTTGAGCTGAAATGTGGTATGGATAAACTAGACTTGATGAGGAACATGCTCAAAAATTTTCATCAAAAATTTCCACCAGGAAGACCCCCAAACAGGAAAGTCCGCACGGGTCTGGCCGGTCAGGCCGCCTGACTTGAACAGCACTATACACACACACACACACACACACACACACACACACACACACACACACACACACATAGAATTAGGTTCAAGTGAGAAAATGATTTTAGGAGAGAAATGAGAATGAATTTGGACCGTTAGATTGTAATCTGTGAAATTGAATGTGCATTTAGTGAAAGAGAAATGTGTATTAGGTGAAATCGAAATGTGCAACATAAAAGGTAAGCTGAAATGTGCATTAGGTGAAACTGAAATGTGCAGAATAAAACTATGATGTGGTGACATTTTTTTAGCTTTTATTATGCACATTTCAATTTCACGTAATGTACATTTGAGTTTTACTTTTCATTCTGCACATTTCAATTTCACATAATGCACATTTCAGTTTTATCAAATGCACAGTTCAATTTCACATCATACAATCCAACGGTCCAGATTCATTCTCATTTCTCTCCTAGAAGTCCTTTCTCACCGGAACCCTCCCCTATATATATATTGGAAGGTTTCTCTACAACATTTATGACCTTGGTGTAAAACCTCTAATATTTAGAGTGAATTAAGATCTTTAATCCATCTTAGCTTAGTTGCACAAGTTAGTCGGTTGTTGTCACATGGATTGTGTCATACACGTGCTTAGCTAGCTTGAGGCAACTTTAAACACGTACTTTTGAACTACCTTTATATCAGATGACTCAAATATAAAAGTATGATAGTTTTACTTTGCAAACCACAAACTTTTTTACTCATATTTATGATGATTATTGTTTTATATAGTAAAACTAAGTTATGAATATCTTATTCATTATTCTCTCATTGGTTAACAAAGAAATAAATAACATCACTCTTAATTCATAGTGTCTAATTTTTATAAGATTGAATTTTGTTATGAAAATTAAGAGTGATGTTATTCAAAACTAAGTTATGAATATCTTGTTCTTAATTCATATATGTTTATAAGATTGTGTCTAATTTTTACTTGACACAATCCAAAAATGATAGGGTGTAACGTAAGGATGTTTTCCTTTGGATTGTTTTTGGTTCTAGACCAGACTAGACTTAAATAGAACAAATCAAATTAGACCAGACTTGGACAGTTATAAAATACACAAAGACCAGATCAGACCAGATCAGACTTAAACAGATCAGGCCAGACCAGACCAACAAATTCAAGTCCAAAAGAAAACATCCTAAGTTCCATGAGATAATGAGATAAATGATATTACAACTATTAGTGAGTCACATGGAAATTTATAAAACACAACAAACATATATGTTGACAATGTATGTCCAAAAAGTATTATAAATTTTCAAAAACTTTGTATATACCACATATAAGAATCTTAATCTTCAACTCACTTCTTGAAGTGACCCTTGACGTTGCAACATACAATTGACAATGCGTAAAAACATATTATGGAAGAAATATATGTCCACTTGTAACAAAGATTGTCTTTAACTTTTGTTTATCATTATCACAAAATTAAAGAATTAATGAATGGAAATTGCTTGAGTTTAAATTTGAAAAAAAAATTGTTATCTGACGGAACCACCAATTATAAATCATGGATTCAAAACCTTTTGACCAATACTTTTTAAGATATAACCTTCACATCCAGAATACAACTACACAACCAAGTAATAAGCAAGCGAGACTCATTACATAAGTCATATATGATTGGCCAATGTTTTCATTAGCATAATAGGAACACCAATTTGTAGTCCTAATTATTTATGGTTCGATATCCCTATGCATTGATGATGTTCAAAGAATTTTTCTTGTGCACTTCAACGGATTCAGTGACAATTTTGCCTTCAAGTGAACATGAGTTATTAAAATCAAACATTGCTTCATTTCTTTAGGCTTGAGCGAAATCATGTAATTATTGATAATCTCAACAACATCATTATATGAATGAATTTTGTTGCTTTATATAATATAAGAACAAACTTATAAACATCAATATCATTATTATTATCATTATTATCGTTGTTGTTGTTGTCATTATTATTATTATTATTATTATTATTATTATTATTATTATAATGATAATAATTATTATTAGTAATATTATGTTACCATCCTAAATGACTTCACCAAAATGTTATTTTCATCTGGCATTCCTCTTAAAGTAGACACGATCTTTGCATGCAAATTGTTTTGTTTTTGTATCGCCTCAAAGAAGTCAAGTGGTTAAGATCTTGGAAAGGTTTCAGATCGGAGGTCAAACACTTGGTTTTTATTTATAAATTCCAGAATATAAGGGTGGGGAGTGGTCTTGGAGGTGTACCAGTTGTCCAGAACTAAGAAATTCTTGATCCTGTAGCATCCGTTCTCCACCGGTCTAGGCTCGTAAAGGGGCATAAACGGCCCTTTTATCACGACATGTATTTTGTCGCCCTGCATGGCCAACAATTCAAGACTTGTTAACCTAACTGTAATGAAACGGAGTTAAACATGAATTAAATGGAAAACTAAAAATATAAACTACCCCCTCATCATGAAAAACGACCTCCAATCGTTGGCCACCTCTTGATTGTGGGGGCATCTCGTAAGCTCTTACAACACGAACTTTTAGAGCTCATGTTGACCTTGTGTGGTCAACCTCCTTTATCATATATAGAGTACATTCCTCTCTTATTTGTTTGAGTATTTTCTATGTTTGTTGCCATGGTGGGATATGGATTCGACGTGAGAATCACACCCTATTTATAGGGCATTCAAAATTTTATGTGTAATTATTGTTATTATTATAATTCTTTTGAAGAATATTATTATAATTATTATTATAATTATAATTATTATTATTATCATTATAATAATAATATTTTTATTATTATTATTATTACTATTATGTTACCATCCTAAACGACTTCACCAAAACGTTATTTTCATCTAGCATTCCCCTTAAAGTATACA